TTACATAATCATCAATTTGAAATAATGTCCATTCATTTCGAGGTCTCCGCAACTTGTCCATCCAGTTCCCAACACCCCAGATACAAAAAAGAGATCTTGGCGAAATAAAGATCACGAGGTAAAATAATGCAAAACCATGGTGGTATTATAATGTAATTATATATATATATATCATGTAACCATTTACAATATAATGCAGATACAAGAACGAGATCTTGGCTAATAAAGATCCTTGGTCTTGTGATGTTTTTCCGGCTATAATTAACCTAAACGGGAGCAATGGGAGCCATCCTGTTAGGGGGTTTCTACCCACACCAACATGCCACCCTTGATCGCGCACCCGAGCTCCAGCTCGCTTTCGGAATGCGTGGCCACCTTGAGAAAAGATCAGCACCAGGGCGGCACACCTGGACGGAGGTAGAAAATGATGGGCCCCTGATAGGTACACTTGAGAAATGGTCATGTTGAAAAAACGTGAGCAGGCATATATATGTAAGCATGAATCGTATACGTATATATATATATATTATGTATATTATAACAATAAATTAAACAACATATATAAATACCAACCAATTATAATCAACCAAATATATTTACATGTTTTATCATGGTTTCATTTGTTTCAATTTTTGGAGCCCAAAAAGGAGCGAACTATTTTAACTCGTCGTTCAACTCCCGCATCGTTTATCATGTTTTTCACATGTGGGCGTCAACCCCCCCAGCCGGAAGATGCTTCCCTCGCCTCTTTGCAAACTTCATTGACATCTATCAGACCTGGCGGCCAAGACCATGGGATCCAAACAGGCCAACTTTCATGCCATACCTGCGATGCCAATACGAAACTGATGTCCCAAGTGTGATCGGAATAGTTCCACACCGAACAACTTCACATTCAGAAAAACTGGGGTTCAAGTTTAACTTAGTATATAACTCCTCCACAAAGCCGTCGCTCAAACAAGTCCAAGTCTCTAGGTAGTTTCTTGGGGGAAGCTGCATTCAACCGCTCGAGATGAACGGCTGCAAGGGCGGATGCTGGCGGTGGCGGACCAAACCCTGGGGAAAGTCTCACAGGGAAGACGTTTCTTGTCCAAATGTTGCGGCTTTTTTATATGTTCATGCCTATTCCTCCCTCATGTCTAGAGATGTGACATTGTAACATTGTTGGAGTCCCCAATGTTTTGGACATCTTCATATCGGCCTTCGTGGCAGGTTTTCCAACGACAGCAATTTGAAGCAAAAACCTTGGCATCGTGCCTCAAATGGACTACTTGGGTGACGCTGGAAGCTGAATTGCTGGGAAGCGGGTCAAAATAGGTAAATCATCAAAATATACCAAAAACCCATCTATGATACCATAGACATGTTAAAGGACCAGAGGGTATATCCCAGTCACTACAAAAATACCACGAGCCATGCCAAGCGACCCTCAACTCGTCCAAAACACGCTCCAGCACCTGAGGATTGTGGACCCGCCGGATCTATCAGCATCATTTTGCTGCCACATATGGAGCTTTCTTGAAATGGGGATCCCCAAAACCATGGGTTTCACTACTATATAGATATAGTATAGATATAGCAATTTTAAATGATTTGGGGTACCCCCCCACTTCAGGAAACCTCCATTGTCCATATCTATCCATGTCTACTCATGTATACCTATCCATCTATCTCTACATCTATCCTTCAATACTTCCATCTATCGCTCTATCTACTATGCAAACACATGCATGCAACATATACATATAAATATTCCATACCTCTCATTGGCACAGAACAATCACATCAATGTAAACAAACTGCTACCAAACTTAGGAAAACAAAACAGAACACATACCTTAGATATCCTTAGATATACATTTACTTCACATAGCATGGTTGTAGATACATCTAAGTATTTGTATGCACATAGATAGAGAAACAGTCATATCTTTTGTGGAAAACATGTGCGCTCAATCAGCTGTCGGGCCTGTGGTCGAAGCTTGCAGGCGCAACCTTGCTTGTCACATGTTGAAAAGGCGGTGGCGGGCACTCCATGTGTATCTAAAAACATCAGGGGACACATGGAATATGCATGTGCATATATATATACATACACTATTAGTGATTATATACTGTATAAACATAGTAATAACAATAAATCTGCATAACAAAATATATAATGTACATGTATTGTATATATAAATATATACATATGTATATATATATATATATATTAATACATAAATAATGTATATGTGTATGTCATGTTGATTGTATATAATTATGGCCTTGTCGTTGAGACATAATCATACATATGCGGGACCCTGGGTGTCTCCAAGTGTCTGGACAAAAAACCTGTCCCAAACACACGGCTGCCTGCTGTACCCACGTGTCACATGTCTTCACTATGACTATAATGTTGGTAAGGCAATAGTAAACCATCCCGAAATTTACCATAAATGTGTGGTATAAACCAAAGTATGGCTGGTTTAGCATTGCTTTACCAACATTAGTTCGTTTCTACACCCTTCCATGCCCTTCCTACCTTTTTCTCATGGTCGCAAACGCGTCTAAACTGTGGCCCCTCTTTGGGGGAGGAGAAATTCTGCGTCTCGCTGTCTAAACTGTGGCCCCTTCCGCTGCCTTTGCTTTGGGCATTTCACCTGTGAGGTACACCACCTGAGGCGACAGATGACGTGTGCCGTTGAAGACTTGGGACCGTCACAAAAAGGAACAACTTACAAGTTTTCCATGGTTTTCCCATATCTGTTGAGTTCACCTGCTTATCCGCTTCTAGCCTTCTCTGAGGAACAGTAACAATTTTACTAATTATCCATCTTTAGCTTTGCAATTCAAGAAGGGCTCGGCAAACGCGAATGGAGGCATGGAAACCCAATGGTACTCCAGAAACATCGGCCTTTCTATGTTTTTTGTGACATATCAGTTACTCAAAAGAAATAACCGCAATCTGCTAGAAAATCCGAATAAAATTTGGATTCAGAGATTAGATCAAATCAATCCAACCGAATGATACCTACAGTATTCCTACAGTAGTATCAAGAATCAAGAGGTTCAAACATGTTTCCATATGTCGTTGGCATTTGCATGGCTAACCTTAGATAAACTGCGAAGTATATATATAGCTGGGAAATGATTTCCCAAAGCACAGCTGGTTCACAAAAATGATAGCTCACAATTTGCTGATCTATGGACCTACACATGTTACACAAGTAAGGTTGAGCTGGCTTACATGGTCTCAAAGTCTCAAAGCCAAGCATCGTAGTGATTCATTTGCCGGATGTCAGGGTCCTGCTAACGCATCTCAAGCTTCAATTGACAGAATATATATGTATAGGTGATATAAAACAATATATATATACATAAACTATGTAACCACACACACATATAATATATATATATATAGATTGATCATAGTGAAATAGCAATGTAGCACCAGCAACTGCCTGATATTTCAGGGGTGTACCCATAAGCATTGCGATTTGACCAGCGGACACCTGATACGAGTGCAGATTGATTCGGAGGGTCCCACCGAAACAATGAGACACATCATAACTCCATGGTTTTGGGGTGCCAAGGAATTGTGTTGGAAATTGACCGCAAGTCCCCCCCCAAAAAATATATTTTCATCTTGATATCATCTCTGGTTGAATCTCGATGTGTGTAGGCTAGAACCACATCTTGAATATCTGTTTTGGTAGACTCCCCACTGCTTAAATATCTTCAATGACTTGAAATCCTCCTTGACTCATGGCATCCTGATCCTGATTTTCCAGTCAAACTCATCCAGTTTTTTCCCAGTCGTCCCCATTTTTTTGGTGCTTACCCTCTGCTAAACTAACATAACTATGGAAAATCACCATTTTTCATGGGAAAACTCACTATAAATGGCCATGTTCAATAGCTACTCTCTGGTAAACTAACATAGCTGTTTAACATGGCCATAGAAATAGTTGATTTACTTGTTAAAAATGGTGATTTTCCATAGTTATGTAACAAATTACCAGAGGGTAAACTCCCCATGTTTTCCGGTGGTTAAACCCATCAACTGGCGCCTCCGTGAGCCGCGGTGCCGTCAGCGCCGCTTGCACCTGGCTGACGCCGCGGGTCGTGGGCTCAAAGCCATACCTGCAACGAGGCAAGGGCAAGGCCAATGAAATCTACCTTATCTGATCTTATCTATCTATTTTTAATTATTTTTTACCTAATCTTAGCTATTCTGAGCTATTCTTAGCTCTTCTGATCTGTCCATTCTCATCTGTATATTCTTATCCATCTCTCTCTCTCTCTCTCTCTCGCCTCTCCGGGAGTTCAGTCACAGACTGAAGGCGAGCCAATCGCCCAGCCCCCCAGAAACAGTGTGTCTTATCTATCTATTTGTTATTATCTATTATTATGTTCTATTCTTATCTATTGATTGTTATTCATTCCTGAGTATTCTTATCTATTCCTATCTGTTCCTATTTCATCCAATCTAATCTATCTATTCTATCTAATCAGTTTGCTTCAATCAATTTATTAATCAATGAATCGCAATCAATCAATCGATGAATGAACGAATGAATGAATGAAACAATCAATCAATCAATCAATCAATGAATCAATCAATGAATCAATGAATCAATGAATCAATATTTCTATCAATCTATCTATCTATCTATAGATCTATCTATCCAATTTACTCTACTCTAATCTTAGCAAATCTATGCATTCTCATCTGTTGTAACTCTCTCTCTCTCTCGAATCTATCTATTCTTATCTATCTATTCTTGGCTAGTTAGTCTTAGATAGATCTATCTTCTTTTTATCTATCATGTTTACACATTTTTATTAAATGTGATTGTCCGAATTGATATGTTTTTTGTTTTCATATTTATAGTTGTTTATATTTGTATTGCCTCATTTGTTTGCATTTGTTTTATCGTTTTATCAATTGTTTATGTGCAAAATGTATGATTATATATTATTACAGTACCTATGCACAACCGGCTCGGGGCATGCTATCTTCTAAGAGTGATGATCCTGGAAGTTTCTAACTGGAGGTGGGTGATAAGTCATAAGAACAAGCAGACCCAAGGTGGCATGACTTGCAGCTGAGTGACTTTGGAATGATCTCAGCCTGACACATGGAAACTGCAGGAAAAATACGCCTGGAATTGGAGAGAAATGAGGCTCCTAAATGTATTCTGCAATTTCTTGGGGCTTGGCATGGTTGTAGGAAGACAACTGTGCGCGCAAGTGGCCTAAACTTTAAACCTGGTGAGGCAAAAAGCTCCCCCGAGATCCCACATCCTTCTGGAGCAACACCACGCGGTTTCAAGGGAAAGCTGGATTCGGGGCGCACCCCAATCTCAGGGATTTCTTTTAGAAAGGTTTGATACTAGTGTTGACCACATGAATTGCCATAAACGTACTCAAACGGATTTTTAACAAAGCTTTGGAACCCACACTACTGTTGGTAAAGCACTGTCGTAAACCAACCTCATTTTTTACCATAAATGGGCGTCTCTCATGTGAAAATAGTCAATCCATAGTGGTTTATGACATTGCTTTACTAACATTATTTATACTGGTTCGTGCTATACCTACCCCTCTGAAAAATATGAGTTCGTCAGTTGGGATGATGACATTCCCAACTGAATGGAAAGTCATAAAAGCCATGTTCCAAACCACCCACCAGTTATCCTATACCCTTTATAACCCCGAAATCCTCCCACGCCTGGATGGGCATGCACAGCCGCCGCCGTTCCTTCAGCAGTTGCATCTCCTGCCGAAAAAGAAACGGAGAAACCCACATTTTGGCGAAAAAAAAACATATGAGAAAAGGGAAGGCACTATTAAAACGTGTTAAAACTGGGATATGATGGTATGATATAACTCTTGGAATGCTGAAACATGGTTCACATTGGGCTTACCAGGGCTGTTGCAGCCATTTACACGTGACATTGGGCTTCTTGGGAGCTATGTAATTAATGACCCGTCCAAAGGTGCTTATTCGTCCATACGAAGCGCATCGCAAGTGCGGAATTTCATGCTGCCCAGGCTCATCGTTGTGGATTAAGAACTGCTGAAAGCACTGAACCTGAGAAGCATCACTGGTTGGTGGCATCAAACGTGCCAAATACATCAAAAACTCTTAGTCAATTTGGATCATACCAAGAAGGTTGGGAGACAAAAAATGTCTGAATCCACCAGACCAGGACTGCCGCTTTCGAATTTTCGACCATACATGGGATGGTCCAAGTGCCCAACTCAAGCATGGACCCCATGCCGAAAATAAGTGTTCGATGCAGATGAAGTGTATGGTGGTCTGTATCCAAACTGTTGGAGTCAGACTCTTCTAGCTTTTTTGGGTATTACGGGTATCATTGAGTAGCCGCTAGCCATGACTTTACAGTATCGAGCCACACCGCTACTGGACGAGACTCCATCCTGTCTTGAAAATTTTGGTCCTGGTGGATGACCATCAAGCAGCTACCGGGCTGGTCAACCTACCACACTCCGAAACAAACGCAATCTGCCAACAGACCAAAAACATGTCACAATATTTCACAATATGTCACAATATTTCACAATATGTCACAATTAATATGTCGCAATTCTTGACGTGAAGTTGAGACTGCCACATGAATGATAACGGATAAGATGGCCATATGAGCGTGTAAACTTAAACCCTGCGCGCACCATGAGCCACCTGCCACCAGCATTGTCAATGAAGCCAATGAGCATGCATTGTCGTGGGCGTATTCATTTCGGATATCTCTCTCTCTCTCTCACTGTCACACATGTTTTAAAGAAAAAACGCACACACAGCTATATATCATTATATATATATATATATGTGTACAGATGTACACTCACACACCCACACACACATATTATATATATATATACCAACCAGGTATAAGACGCATAAACCATACAAAACCATACATCAAACTCATGACTCATAAACCATGTTGGTTGGGAAAGTCTTAGTAGCTCCCAGAGGCCCACCATGGCCCACCCCTCAAGTCCTCGTATTTTGAGCAAAACCTCGGACGTTTTCCAGATCGAGGCACCCGTGGAAAACATTACGCTACGCCGCTACGCTAGAAATATTGCTAAAGAATGATAAAGACTTCTATTTCCATTGATGTTCCTCTTCTTCCAGTCCTTTTACATACTCATCTTGCCAACTTTCCAGCGATCTTGGCTGGTTCTTGACCGGAAAAAGGATGAAAAAGGCTTCGCCTTTTAAAAAATGCAACATCATAATCATATATAATCATCATACAACCACGTTCGCTATGCCATACTATGCCACTATGCCATACTATGCCTATCACCCACTGCAGCCAGAGTTGCTCTTTTAACATGCCTCGGTGAGCCGTCAAACAAAGCGTCCGAAAAGAGCTGCGGATCAACTCATCAAGATCTGCAAATCACCTCTGGGCTGATGACAAGCGACAATCATTCATCTTGGCTACAAAAGATATAACATATGATTGTGCTGTTGGGATTTAGGTAATTATATAATTATAGATATTTATTTGTATAATTATAGATATTTATTTGTATAATTATAGATATTTATTTGTATAATCATATAGTTATATATAATTATACTATATATATATGTCTATCTATCTCTCTCTCTCTCTCTCTCCATCGCCATATCTAAATTTATGTTTATGTTTATATTATATAAATTATATTATATTATATTATATTATTTGTCATTTGGGCTTGTTCAATCCCCAACAACTTCTATAAAACCAGGCTTCCTTTGGCGTCGTCGATGGACAGCTGTGGTCTTGCCAGCTTTTTGGGCGCGACTGCGGTATCTTCCAGTCTGCCATTGAACCTCAATACCGACAAGCATGGTGATTCAACCAGCAATAAATGGTGGTTTAGTAACCAGCAATAGCTGGCATTAGAAACACCCCCCAATGTTTAACACTGTTTAGCAATTTCTATACATATATATGCATTGATGACATTGATGTGATTTGAAATAATCTGAACGAGGAAAATGGTGATGTAACCCATTGAAACGGTGGTTTAACTGGCAACAGATCGAATTTGCTCCAATTGAAATTTGGGTTGGTTAAACAACTGGGGATGCTTCCCAATGGCGATTTTGAGGAATAATATGATAGACTCTGATAGACAGATAGACCATGGGATTTTGCAGTATGCCCGGTCTTCAGACAACCCGACTGAAAAGAGGCTGTTTCAAATAATTGCTGGATATATTATGTGTATATATCTATATATCTAGAAATGCAATTGCGGCACTTTTATGCCAAAAGGCTATTTTTTCCATGCTACGGCGTAGTTCCAGGAGCGACTTCGCAATCATTTTTTGGGCTACGTAATTTTCATTGGTATGTGTGGACCACATTGGGGAAAGATGTGCACTAAAATTGGTGCGATGTCTTGGAACCTGGGTTCGGTTTTTTCAAAATTGTTTCAGAAAAAAAAATAGTGGGAACATCACCAATATATTTCCCAAATTACGGCGTAATTTCCCAACATTACGGCGTAGTTTCCTGGAACCATGACAGAATTTATTTCCCACTATTTTTGCTGCTCATGGACTTACAGAGTCCATGGAGAAAAGGAGTTTTGTACTGTTCAGGGTATTGGGACCACCTCTTTGACAGTCCACAGCCCTCACAACCATTGACCTTTGGCAACGCCATTGTTGGATGTCCTGCGTCAAAATTTCCGGGCTACGCAAACAAAAAAAACGCCGTTTGGGAATCCGGCACTTTTTTTTGTACGCAACGCCTATCTAGGTATACCTATATATATTATATATATAATAGTTATATATATATATACATATATAATCACACACACATATATATATATATATAAAAGAGGGACCTGAGTTATGCAAAGTCTATGCAAGCGTCTGTTTTCCCAAGTTTGTGGCCAGTGTTTGCATTTTGGGGACCTCGTGATCCATATGTCAGACCCTTCGAGGCCCATCATCCATCACCAGCGTCCCAGAGACGGAATAAACTCTGAGAGAGCGAGAACACGAGACGGCACCTTCAATTTGTTCTCCTGCGCACTGGGAATGGTCACGCGAAAAAAAAAATCACCCAGCCATCTTTCGCAGATGGCGTGTGAAAAGAACTGCACAGAAAAAATCGCTCAAGCTGGATGATTCAAGTGCGGACGTTGCCCAAGATGTTTTGGGTATGACTGCGGCATTTTGCAATCTTCCGGGTGTCCTTCAGTGCGAGCGGTGAAGCATCTCAACTGATCCCCTGAAGTATTTAGTACTGCCACACCTGTTAGATCCTGTTAGTACAAAATTCGACAATTCCGTTTGGGAAAATCATTGGCCAAGTCATTCTCAAACAACATTGAGTTTTTGGGCTCCATCAAGGCATCCCAGACGAAAAATCTCAAGCTAGCAGCATCCCCCGTTCTCTGGATCCTTCGCCAGGGTCTGGAAAATGTTGGCTGACTTCTTCAGTGTGCGCTCTTGGGTGTCGAAATCCACTCGCACAATGCCGAACCGCTTGGCATAACCAAAGGCCCACTCGAAATTGTCCATGAAGGACCAAACCTGGAGAAATGTCCAGGGGCATGCCATCAATATTCTGCATGTGTGAACCAAACCTGGATTTTAGACATGGAAATTGACTTTTTGGAATATCAGTCCATCAATATACTGCGATCTTAACCCATCAAATCCATCACTATGATCAATATGATCAAAATGCGGATATAAAGCCTGGACACAATTCAAATGGTTCTCACCTGTTCTTTGTGCAAAGTCACCCATGTGGAGGTATCAGGACTTCTGTTTGGGCGGACAATCTTTGAAGCCCATGTGCCTCTCTTCGTGAATCGTGAACATCTATTTTTTATCTATCGATCGATCAATCTATCATCTATTATTATTCGTGTATCTTCCTCATTCCTCCTCTCTATCTGTAAATATCGATACACATAATATCTTATAATATCTTATAATATCTTATAATATCCTATAGTATCTTTTTTTTAAAATAATATTTTTCGTACATATATATATATATACACATCTATCTGTCTATTGTGGCAACTACTGGACTGCCATATTAATGTGGCTTCCATAATCTTCCCATCCTCAAGCAATCTCAGTCTATCTGAATTCAAGTGGCAAGGTAGCCCTTCACCTCAACACCTTTGGAGATTGCTTTGTGCATCTGAGAGAGGTATCCTTGCAAATATTCCATCCGAGCACCATCCTGGCGATGAATCGATGAAGCATCGCTGCGCAGGACACGTGGCGTTACTACGTGCTCCACCCGAGGGCCTTGGAGATCTTCCATCTGGATGACTGTGGATGTTTGAATGCTTCTGAATATTGCTTTGCGGCTTTGCCACACTTTTCCATATGGACAATCCGTGATGATCCCCCTTGTAGGTCAAATTAAGAGTTGCTGATTTGTCCGTTCTCCCAACCGCGGTCATTCACGGCTTCTTCTTCCGTTGTCTCTCGCACTGCGCACCCATTTTCAGTCACCTCGGGCCGCAGGGCCGCAGGGCCTTCCCCGAGGTGCGAAGCGATTCAGCGATCACGGTTGTTCAATATTGCTTTGAAGACATGCATAAATTGGCATAAACTGCGGAACATGCAAAAAATGCCACATGGAACCACTTCCATACCACTTTTGACTTCAACGCTGAGGTGAGGTGGTTCCAAGACACCAGAATGCCACCCTTGGGCGAATACTCTTTCTGGATCCAGCTGAGCAGTTTTTCAAAGCCCCAGGGCACAATGTCCCAGCCCATGTCTGTCCGAAGCCTCGGCTACGTGCATAACACTCACATATATGCACGTGTATACACACACACATATATATATTATATAATTAATATATATATATATTATACATGGTCAAACATGCCATGCGCACACGCACATGTGCATATATATATATATATAATCAATCAATCAATCAAATCAAATCAAATCAAACCAATCAATCAAACAAATCAATCAATCAATCAATAAATCGAATCAAATCAAATGAAATCAAATCAAATCAAATCAATTCAAATCAAATCAATCAAATCAATCAATCAATCAATCTATCTATCTACCTATCTATCTATCTATCTAATCTAATCTAATCTAATCTAATCTAATCTAATCTATCTATCTATCTATCTATATATCGATCCATTCACCTATCTATCACTGTATGCCGTATGCTCAGTCTCTCTCTCTCTCTTATATATATATATATATATACATATACGTATATACACCGTACCTATGTGTATGCGTACAATGCGCAAATATATTCAGCCCTGTGTACATATGTGGCCCAATAATGCCCAATAATCAAATATGCTGACAAAGGGCAATACCAAGAGAAAAAGAATCTACATGAGACAGCGCCTCAATCATTATTGGAACATGGAATGACTTCAAGCACTCGGGTCATGTCGACACCATCCTGCAGCCATATCTTCAGCAATTCTCTCCCAAAAACAACACGAAATGTTCCCAAACAATGAAAACTGTACTGCATTACCCATAGGATCCATGTATGCTATATATGTTAACATTTACCATCAATATACCCCAAATGTTAGCATATATACCAGACATGGATCCTGTGGGTTATACAAAATTATGGGGTCTACTATGTTTCTACTATGGGTGTCTTGACACAGGACACATCAGGAAACCATTCCTTGGCCGAGATGCCATCGAGGATCCGAGCAGTTCTTCACCTCCTTGGGAGACGAGTGGCTTGGGCCCATACCCACCATGGAATACTGCTGCCCTTGCCTCCACTATTTGGAAGAATCCCAACAGTCTTCATTTTACTTTGGTCTAGCAAAAGCAAGAGTCCACTTGCTTCATCCGAGTAGTTCTTCGGAGGTATATTATATATTATATATATAGTCATCCAGATTCAACCAGCAAACTGAATCAGGAGCCACTTTCAGAATGGTTGGCTGAACCGCTGTTCTGTCTTATACCTACAGAAAGCTTCAAGAAGACTTACCAGTACAACCTGGGGATGGTCATTAAAATCATATTAAATCACCTCTCAGTTATGTAGATGCCAACATAGTTATGTTAGTTTAGTGGATTTACCCTTTGAAAATGGTGGATCTTTCCATAGTTATGTTAACGTTTACCAGAGGGTAGATGCAACATTGATGCCAAACAAAAAATGCCTGGACCACTGGATCAACTGCCACCCCCCCACGGATCTCCGGATCTGCAAAAATGCTGTCCTTCTCTGGCTTGTCCCTGAGGATGGACCCCATGAATATCAAAATGGGGAGCTCAATGATGTCAAAGATGTTGATATATAATAGTATATTATATATATTATATATTACTATGGAACCAAACAAACAAAAACAATAACCATGGTTAAAACAGAGTGGAACCAATTTTAATACGGAGTTCGAATGGTAATTAAGTGGGATTTAACCTTAGAACATGTTTAAAATAAACCACCGTTGGTTACGCCACCCGTCCAAAACCACAGCCAAGTGTGATCACGATGGCACTAATTAATACGAAATATGACACATCAATGTAAAACTCTTTTGAAATTTGAAACCATCAAGCAGTTTTGAAGGACTTCTGATGATAATGAGGAATCTGCAGCGTTTTTAGATGAACTATCACAGTACTGATCTTTTTGTGGTAATCGGAACAGTGCCTCCATGTTCGAAGGGTTCTTTAGGTTCTTTCAATCAGCTGTTGCATATTCTGCTGGCAAGTGACTCCCCAGGCGAGACGAAGTCGGTCGAATAGTGATTTAAACCGAAAAAATCCGAAGAGCCCAGCAGCCAGGACTGCTCCTGGGCAGGACATCACCATGCTGAGGGGGTCATCCCCAGTTCAGGTTGCCGAGGGGGTTATTAATCCGAGGTTGATGAAATTGGGAGGCTCTTCTATAGTAATTTCGGTCATCTATAACATCAAGAAAGCACTGTTCTACTGTATGTATTGGGTTCCCCATATGTTCAATTCGCAATTCATCGTGATGTTTCATTGCCAAGATTAGAGTCTAGAGACCCAAAGACTTGGCCGAGCCAATGCCCCAGAAACATCCAGAAACCATGTGGAAAGTTTCGCCCATTTTCAGGAGGATTTTCCAAATTCAATGCATAAGGCATAACTGGTTGGTGGTTGAGCCACCCCTCTGAAAAATATGAAAGTCAGTTGGGCCAGTTGGGCTTATTATTCCCAATATATGGGAAAATAAAATTCATGTTCCAAACCACCAACCAGCATAAGATTGTCCATTTCAAATGGGGATGTCCCGTTGCCGGCCGCGCTCCTCCTTGGTGAATTCTGGCAGCCGCTCGCCGCATTTCTGTCGCATACTCTCCGGGTAATCACCTTCGGGGCCCGGGGCAACTGAGCAATGACTGGGCCGATTGGGGTGGTGTTTTACAAGTTGGTTGGCAACATACCCTACGGACTCCGGTGTCATCAAACGTGGCAAGCTGGAAAATCTGCCATCAACGGAGGTTTCAACGGAAATTCATAATTCATCTACATACTTACAGTACATATTTTTACATAAATAGGGGATGTTCAATTGCCATGTTTGATTCAAGTAAGTAATGACGGAGGAGAATCAACATGGCATCTAAAAATGTGATTGTCTTGCAGATGGGTACATTCATGAGCTTTATACGTGCACTTTATAATCAATGGGAAATGTTCATTGTATATTTATGTATATATCTATCTATATATATTAATATATATTATATACTCAAATAATCCTACATCCCCTCATGCAAATACCAACCCAAAAATCCCAATCGAGAAGAAGCGCATTCGCTCCGAATTCGCCGCGCATTCGCCGCGCCTTTGTACACCGGATCCGCGAACCATCCCAGCTGCCAATCCAACGCACCTCATTGGGATTCCGTCATGAAACACTGGAAATCATGACGATTATATGGGATAAACATGGGATAAACATGAGATAAACATGAACCTACCAACTGGTGCAGGATTTCCCCACCATCTGCAGGAGTAGGAGTTGATTTTCCACAAAGGATCACAAAGGGTTGTGATAGTCCCCAAAAAGTTTGATAGTATAGCACCTGATGATCAGCAACCAAGAGGGGCTTTGAACACTGCTCATGTGGATATGGGTCACTAACCATCCGATTTTCTGATGTGTTCTATATGAAGGGTGCCAATGATACTCCATAGCTACCAGGTGGTTTGATGCGAAAAATACCAGCGGCAGGGCCCCAGCTCCTGCCACCTGCGAGTTGCCTTACCGGCGGCTCCAACATTTTTTTCGCAGCAAAATGATATTGTTCGCTATTCAACACAGGAGATTCGCTTTCCACCATAATCAAGAATATGTGTGGCTCCTCGTTTTTCAATCATGAATATATATAATTATGTATATATATATATACATGTATACTATTTACATAATTATATATATATATAGGTGATCCTAATCTTAATTTCAGAGTTGAATTGAATCCCGAGTTTCCACAAATTTCCTGGCATCCCAATTTTCTGGAGCAACCCTTACTCAGAAAACTGCCTCACTCGGCAGTAGGATATCCAGCTTTCAGCAAGGCACGGCGTTGCGCCAGCCGATCAGCCTCCGATGAGCTCAGAGGCTCTTTCCAATCCATGTTCAAAGTGAGGCCTGGCACAACATAGCTGAGCCAGGGACAAAGATCTTGAGGCGATTCTGGAGAGGGAAACCTGAGACAAAAAGGGTACCCTCTGGTAAACTAACATAACTATGGAACATCACCATTTTTAATGGGAAAATCCACTATAAATAGCCATTTTCAATAGCTATGTTAGTTTACCAGAGGGTACCAGTTTTATGAAATAGAAAGTCGGCAATTGGATCTACAACGTCGATTCTCCAGTCGGCGGCTTGTGGTACAGAAACAGCGTTGAACAAAGCTCAATCGTGGAACTGAAAAACTTGCCACGCAGCTAAACGCAAAATGATTGGCTCCTACTTAAGATTAGACCTATAAACCCAATCAACATCAATCAACATCTAGCTACCCGATGCTACCCATACTTTTAGGATGTGTAATGGATGTGTTAATTAGTGATCCCAGGCCAGGCCGCAGAGCCCTTTCCATCGCGGAAGTTGTGTCTGCTGGGCGTCCAGCCTCGGCCTAGCTACCGTTCATCCGAGCCGGGCTGGATTAGATCCATTTAGATCCTCTATCGCAGCATGGCTCCTCGGTGTAGTTCCAAGCCCTTTTGTTTCAGCTGGGATGAACCGTTTTCAGCAAAGCTAGGTGTAAAAATGGATTTTCTCAGCACTGGGAGGTGATGATGAATGTCATGCCTGTCCCATTGTCATCTGAGGAATTCTGCGGATGGTTTCCCTGGAAAAAAACACCCATCATTTAAGTAGTGACGCCGCAGCGTTCGGTCGTGACGACATTTATCCAGAACAATTATGTAAGTTATGCAGTTTATTTACTTATAATTATATAACTTATAACTCATAAATTTATCCGGGTTGATGATCTAATCATCTATAATCATCTATAATCTATAATCAACTAATATCAATTACGTAATAATTACATCACCATCCGCATATATCCGCATCAAATGCCATCAGCATCACCTCCCATGGAAAATTCCCTGGGTATCATGGGTCCCTCAAGCAGCGGCAGCGGTCAGTTCGACATGAGGCATGGGACCCTTTTCGTCTCCCTCGATGAGCTGCTTATGAGGTGCCACCTAAGGATGAAATCGAAAAGTGGGAAGGAGTCATATGAGTCATGGGCGGCGGCCGTGGCCAAAACTGACAGAAAACCGATGGATTTTGGCATCCGGTCTTGCAGTTTCCTGGAAATTGTGTGGCAACCCAATTCAAGTGGGGTAAATCGTCCTCCAACCGGCGTCCTTCCATTTAAAGCCTTGTGAGGCCATGATAGGAATAGGTTGTGGGATAAGCATGCTGGTAGGCATCATCCACAAACAATCCTCATCAACTCAGAGCGCGAGCATGGCGATGATTTTGGAAACCCACCACCTTAACAGCGGATCTTCAGAATATCGCCCACCTATCCTTTCCCAAAAATCACCTTAACTCCCCCAACCTGAAGCCAGGCCACTTGCACGACTCCATCGCTCCATTTGATGACAACAGCGTAGTTTCCTGGACTCAGCAGAGTGTGGGTTGCCACTATGGCAACTATGGCAGATTCTATGGGTGATACCCTCTGGTAATTTAACAGCGCGCTATTGAAAATGGCTATTTATAGTTGATTGACCAATTAAAAATTATGAATTTCCATAGTTATGTTAGCTTACCAGAGGGTAAACCGCCATTTTCCTATGGTTTTCCTATGGTAATCCCACGACCATGGCATACATGGCGCCGAGTTTCCCATATCAACGATCTCCTCCGGGAAGAGCTCGGCTGGAGGTGGGGTGACGCCACCGGCACCCTTGTCCCTGACAGCCATGACATCTGGGATTCAAAAAATCCTTATCCAAAAGAAGAACCTGAAGATTATATTATTTATATATATATAGTATATAATATATATATATTGTTAATCATTTTTATATCTATATATCTATCTATATATATATATAGCTCTAGCATACAGTGGCAAAATTCTCAGTCCCTTATGGCCTTATGGGTTCAGATACATGCGATGCCATTCATCTCAGGTTGGAAAGAAATTCTTGTGCAACTCAGCTCCAACACCAGAGGTTTCGCCTCTTGAAAGCGGATTTTTAGGTGAAGTTCCTATTAAACAATAGAGCAGCTTAGGCAATCATGGTATCTTGGTGTACCAATATATATATATATATATGTGGGTATAGGTCAAAACTAAAGACCTGGGGGACCACACATGTAAGCTTATTTTAATATAACAAACCAAATATTGGGGTACCCAATTTTTACCCATGCCAATATATCATAATTTCAACAGATACTGCAGATTGAGACTTAAGAATTTACCCATGTACACTTTGGATGCCAAATTTCCGACAATGCCTTCCCCCCAAAAAAATAGAATTCCCTCATTTATGGGACTGCAAGCCAAATGCGTAGATTTAGTACCAAAGCAGAGTTTCCTTGAGGAATTTCTGGTCGCTGGCTTCAACCCATCCCAACAATATGCCAGTCAAATTGAGTTCATCTTCCCATTGTTGATTTCCAATACTAGGCCGGTTCTTGGGATTTCTTGGCTACATTCCCCCATGTTTGATCCATTTGGAAAACAGGGAGGGGGCTGAATCCAGTCATAATTCACCTGAAATATCCTGAAATCTTGGGTGATTTTGAACTATTTTGAATCACTTCACCTTTTTTCTTACCCTCTGGTAAACTAACATAGCTATGGAAAATCACCATTTTTAATGGGTAAATCCACTATAAATGGCAATTTTCAATAGCTATGAGTTTACCAGAGGGTACCCAATGAATCACTTGAAGTGGGAATTCCTCACCGTCCTGCGCCTGAGTCTCAGTTCCCGAGGATCGATGCCCAGCTCCTGGCCCTCCACCTGTAATCGCAAGACCTGCGACTCTGTGGCTGGTGAAACACCCTCAATTGTCCATTTCACCTTTGGGCTTGATGGTTCGATTACATCCTTACATTGCGGTCACCTGGACAAGTTCCCACCTTCATGTCGGCATCCCAGGTCAACTGAGGCTGCTGTCGGTTGTCCTTGATCTTTGCCACTTCCTGGCAAAGAGCCGAAGTCTTTTCGGCTAAATAAAATGAAAGTTAAGAATGGTTATGCCCATCATTCCCTGGCAACATCCGTGAAAATCCGCCAAGTTGAATTCCGAATTTGTTTCTGGTTTCTGCCAACTGTTACAGGGTTGTACCCCCATTTTTTGTTGACTAATTTGGTTAAAAAAAAACTGTAAGATCTTGAACCCGTCAAAATCCACCAAAACATCCCTCAAAACTAAAAAAAACTTGAAGTCCATCTTAAATCTCATCAGTTCTCCACCTTGTTTCCCCCTTTTTTCCCATGTTTTACCTGGGTTTTCCATCATTTTCCATCCTGGATCACGGACTCCGCCAGTTTCTCCACCTCCTGCGCTGCCGCCGTGGCTTCCTCCGACGCCACGAAGGGTTTCCCTGCGTCACCAGCCACGGCCACTGAGGGTTCGATGGGCAGCTCGAAGACCTGTTCGATACCGAAGGTGTCCTGTGTCGAGAAAATGGGAGAAAGGAAGAGGAACTTCGGTTTTTGTTGAATCATTTTTTTGATCCAAATTGAGAAAATCTAAAGGGATATATGGGGATACTGAAGGTAGGGAGGAACTTTGATGGGGAATCAAATTGAGAAATATATACATAGTATATATATATATCTCTCTCTCTATCTATCTATCTATCTATCTATCTATCTATCTACATCATGTCACCGTCTAGTTTGAACCGGCCATCTTGTGGTGACATTTAAGTGTATATTTATGGGATGTGTAACCAGCAAATGCCAGCATTTACGACAAAAAAAAACCATCAAATACTGGATGATGAAGCACCCCCACAAAAGGACGGGGAGGGAAGCTACTGTGAGACTATCCTTCTGCTAATGCTACCATTGGATGGTCGGAGGCTACAGGCTAACTAACGAATGGCAATTCGAACCCACCAAAATGTGATGTCTACTAACCAAAGTAGTTCACACCTATGTTTGGTGGTTGACCTTCCAGATTGATGCAATTCCCAAGTCCACTAAGGGATGTGAGTGCCAAAACTCGTTCACTTTTGTCATGTGTTTTTGTTGATGTCGGCTTTCCAAAATTATTGCTAGGATCTTAGGAGTATTGATGATTCAGCATTTGATTCTTTGAACCTTAGATATCCAAGGCCTTCCTGCTGGTCCCCCCAACCATTCACCATATTTCAAGTATCCGCAATGGCAAAACCGGCATCCGTCTTGCCAAAGATGTACTGCTTCTCGCCGTTGGGCATGGACATGTAGCTCATGTTTTGAACCACTGCCACCTGTAGGAAAGGAAAACAAAAGCGCATGGCTCAGGGATTATTAGGGGTCCATTGCATGTCCACTGCACGGCGATCATGAGCTGCTTGGAAAGCCCCCCCTGTTTGGTAAAGTGCGGACGCCGCCTCCGGTCAAATGCAACATCTGTGAAAACATCAAAACATAAACCACCCCCGAATGACTTGTCAGAAATGCGAGATATGTTGGGCTCACAACCTTGTAGCCCAAATCTGCCCCCCCAAAAAGTGATCTTTACCCTCTGGTACACTAACATAACTATGGAAAATCACCATTTTCAATCGGTAAATCCACTATAAATGGTCATTTTCAATAGCTATATGTTAAATTACCAGAGGATACTACAATTGTAGCCCCAAATAGGATCAACCAGGTGCCCCTCCGACGGTGCCCAACCAGGTGCCCTCCGACTATACCGTCGCGCCACGGAAGGCACGTTGAGCTGCCCAAACATCGAGATGCCCCGCTCCACATCGATGACGCTCAGCTTCTGCGGAGTCGTCACGATGACCGCGGCAGTGATCCTGGAAGTCGGTCAGGGGGAAGTCATGGGAGCAGTGGTGATGTTCGTTGAGGTTGGTTGGTTTTATATGTTTGTTTGTTCTTTTTTTGTAGTTTTTTTTTCCTGGGATCTAATCTATACTTATGGTAGAAGATATATTGTGGATAATAATAGGTAATTGAATGCAATATGATAGGTGTTTGTCTTAACAAACATATTTTTAAAATCTAAAAAAATGTGTAGAGTGTATAGTTGCAATATGTGGATGGAGTTTTTTCTCAATGGCTGATGATATCATATAATTTACTGCACTTATGAATATATGGTAGAAATATGTAGAAATTACAATAAAATATCATACACGTCCCAACAAATGGTGACTCAACGATCAGCAACAAACATATGACAATTTACTATCATCATGTTCATGATGAATTTGATGGTGATTGTGATGGTGATAATCATGTGGTCGCTTATGATGATTGTCTGATTATTTTTGGAGCTGGGGCTAGTCTTTAAGGGACATCCATGGAACAGCCTAATTCTTGGATACATGTTTGGCATAACATATACATACACACTTGAAAGACTGTATCTCGTCTATGAGTCTTTTCATTCCCAACAGGATACCTGAACTGATTCTGCTGTTTACATGCTTAGTTCAGGAAGGCCGTCTTTGTCCACATTGGACAAAAGTCGCAGAAATGGGTAAATACTGAAAAATGCGTAACGGACTCCGATTTCTCGAATTATTCATGCATATGATAAAAAATAATAACCGGAAAGTCAGCAAAAAGCTTGGATAATGAAAGAACATCGTGACCAACTGCAGGTACGTCAGGGTGATCAGCCCTGATATCCCATCCAAGACCGTAGCTTCGTTGCACACGGTGGGTCAAGGATGCCGTGTGCCCCTGCTTGTAAATTGGGAACTGAAACTAAAATTGGACATGTGATAAAATTGGACATGTGATAAAAGCCCTTCGGAACAGGGGTTGCCCCCACACACAAAGGCCGTATGTCGCAAAAATATATTGTTGCTTTCAGCAACGGTGATCTTGAAAAACTGGTGTTTTTTGAAAAATTGGTCCCGCGAACCCCACCCCTGCTGGGAAATTGGAAACTGAAACGAAAATTGAACAAGTGAAGAAAATTGGAAACAGAAACTAAAATTGAACTTGAGAGGAAAGCCCTTCGGAACAGGGGTTGTCCCCACACACAAAGGCCGTATGTCGCGAAAACATAGCATCCATTGTTTTCAGCAACAGTGATTCTTGGAAAAACTGGGCCCGTGAACTCCAAAGTGATTCCATGGCGAGAGTCTCAGAAGCGAGTCATAATGGTAATGCAAAATTGAGCCAAACATAGAGGCAAAAAATGTATTACAGGATGTTCATCCATGAAGATGTCAGGGCAAAACGGACAGCAGCAATGTTTACTTACTCTGGTTGAGTGCTTGATCAACGTCAGGTTGGGAAAAACCTTTCTGTACATATAAGGCGCCCAGCTGCGTCAAGCTACTGGAGATCAAACTGGTCGGGTACGTGTATTTTCGAATTAAATGAGCCCGGCTTTTTAATCCACTCATTCTGAGTCGGAGTGACCCCGCAGAGACGCAATCTCTGATCTGACTGATGTCAGGTTGACGATATTCAACAGTGCGTCTGTCAACATCAACAGCAAACCCAAGAAGCATATTGTCTTCAACTTTTTCTAGTTCAACTGGAAGCCCGTAAAAATCCAAGTCACAAAAAGTCGTAAGGGCATCGCAGGAGTTAAAATTGGAAGAGAACATCAAAAAACGATTGTCCACGTAGCGAATTGAACATAGATGCAAGCTCGGTTGTTCCAACACTTGGGCAAAAGTTTCTTGCCAACTGCGCTCAATAATGGTAACTGCGAGATTTGACAGGGACGGTGATATCTGGCTGCCGATTCCGGCTCCACGAATTTGACGCCAAATGCATCCTAAGGCGGAAAAAATATGAGAACTCAGGCTGGACTGAACGATTTCTACAATGTCTGTGACGTGTAGTTTTCGAATCTGAAACGCCGTGCGGCGAAATGAACCTGAAAACGTGGAATGTACTGGATCTCCATGAGCCGAGGTATCCACAGAGATAGTGATTGAGTCCCGACCCTCAGGAAAATGATCTAGATGGTTTTCAATCCAATGTTCCACCAATTGGTGTACCGCATCCAAAAGTCTAGTTTGTGGCACAGAGTTAAAAAAGCCAACTAGGTCGTCGTTCACAAATTGAAGTCGCGCCGCTTCATCAGTAACATCAAAATAAGCGTGAACTTTGCTCCAGATTTGTGGTGTGCTCAATTGTCCAAGATCTTGTGGCCATATTTGGCGACACATTGAGTCCAATGCGCTTTGAGCAACTTGGCTTGATAACTTTTGTGATAGCTGATCAACGTGCGGCCTTTGGCCCACTGTTTTTTGCGCTTCAGAAAAACAAATCCATACGGAAGGAGAGCTCCTTTCCGAAAACCCCAGGGGTATCTTCGAATCAGTCGTTTGGAAAAAGCTCGATGGATTAATTTCTGAGCGTCCCCGATGCTGATGGGAAGCTTTTCAAACAGTTCCTTATCTAGCCAGGTTTGCATTGCCCCGTGAAAGTACAATTTGGGGCAGAAAACAGTGATACGAAATTGTTCATGATCACCGTGATGAAGTACACAGTTATACGGCAGCCATCTCAGCAAATTCTGTACATCTCGAAAAGTCAGTCGTGGATGATGATCCAAAGATTGAAGATGAAGCTTCCATTGATCATGCATGAACTGTTGAAATGGAGTCGAAAGACCTGGAGGTAGGCCGTGATGTCTGAGCCACTGTTGAAACTTAGGCTGAACTCGCTCCAGGAAAGATGTCTTCGATAAATAATATGTCGAATTGGCATTCACATCGGAAAATACTGCCAGAAACTTGGGTAGTTTCAAATCCTCCAAATTAACAGCAAGATGTTGTTGAGGATCCACGTCATAAGTACAATGAAGTCGTAAAAAAGAACAGCAACATGGCAATTTGTCCGGGTCGGTGGCATCCCACCATGTTTCAGCTTTTCGATGATTGTGCAAAAATTCCCGAACTTTGGGATACGCTGCTTCACGCAAATGTTGAGTAGGCAGGTGCAATGGTAACGCCATGTCTTTTGAATTCACAATGATATTGCGTAGCCAACGTCGAACATTGATTTGAAAATCATCATGAGACAAAAATGGAATGCTCAAGGGCATGTTAGCTCTGGGAACTGTAGCGTTTCTAAACTGCAACGCTTTTGAAAGGAGTCCCCGAACACGGGATCGGCCAGGCTCTTCCATGTGCAAGGATAATCTGTACAATGCATACACTTCAAGAGTATGAAACTCTCCGGATCGAATTCGTTGACATGTCTCATAACTGCTTCGAGTATGGAGACTCAAAAGGTACAGGATTTGCCAGGCTTTTTCTTGGCAGGAGTGAGCGCTTGGAACACTGCCAATAGTCCGAAGACGTCTGCGTAGCCTTTGGTACAATCGAGGCCCCAATTTGATTGGGGGGGAGCGGTTGGCTTTAAACTGAAGGGTCCAACCCTCGGATTTTAACCTCAAAACTTTGGAAATAAATGGATGGTTTAGCATGGGTTGCCAATAACTGATCAAACAATGTTCACGAACCCACGCTTGTTCATAGGTACTGTGAGTTTCCAAAACTATCAAATTATACAAAGAAAAGTTCTTGTGGGACTGCCAGTACCTGATAGAGAGTTCAACATTAACGGCTTGGCCTAGACCGAGTTGTTTCAACTTGGCTGACCGGTTGAAATCTCTTTTGCATGCCGATATGGATGTAGATCCAACGTAAAAATGGCCATGCTGATGATATACCGGCTTTTCCGGTTGAAGCGGATGAAATGGCAGTTTGACGTAAACTGCACATTGGACTTGAAAAAACGGATAGGTGTACATCTCAGGGCACACTCCCAACAGATTCAACCGATTGCGCCACTTACGAGATTCCAATGTGGGCGCGGGAAACTTTGACAAAACTAGGACATGAATCAAACTGAGGGCCCACATTGCCAAGGATTTAGGTATGTTCGGAATACAATGAATGCAAAAAGAAAACGCCTGCTGGAGATTCACCAAGATTTCAAAAAGTTTCAAACGGGGAATCTCCTTTGAACAGTACCCTAGTCAAGCACACAAGGCTGCACCGATACCAATGATCTGGTGCATGCTGCGGGGTGCCAACTTGAAAGTGAGCTCAATACCGAGTCCGTATTTGATGCAAGCTTCTTGAAGCTTGGATTTGGGAATATCGGCATCACGGACTGACTGAGTGAATTTGATGGCAGCGTCCCGAGTTTCTCTGGGAAAGCTTTCCACCCACTTTTTGATCGTGGGATCAGAATGGCCACCGGGGACATGGTCCTGAAGTGCTGGGGACTGAGGACGTAAGCACTCCTCAGCTTGGATGACTCCGTCATCTGGGCTCTTCTCAGGACACTCTACGGAAAACTCCTCAATATGATCCTCACTGGATTCTACTGTGGTTCCGGCTCCAGTTGGATTCTCCGGTCTGGAGCTCTTCGAATCATGCTTGGGTTTCCACAAGCTCTGGAGGGTCTTAACGGCTTCAACTGGCAAGGTAGACTTTGTCTGCCGAGCTCGTTTCTTGGGAGTTGCGCCAAGTCTTTCCGATGGCTCTCTCTTCTTGGATGCAGCGGGTGATAAATTCTGCTCCGAAACTGATGACGGCGTATGGCCTTGGGAGCTCATCTCAGCGAGCTTCCTCTGGGCTTCTCGGAGCTCGTGCTCTACATGCTGCAAACGTCGAACCGCTGTGCCTTCTGTCTTTTGTGGTTGAAGAGACTTCATACGGGAAACCAAATCAGCAACAACAGGGCACAAAAACTCAACCGGCGAATCTTGTTTGGATGGCACTGGTTTTGTCGGAGATTGAGTTCGGTGAAGATGCTCCGCAACTTCATCGATGTCAATGTTGCTGTCTCGCATGCTTTTTAGCATTTGAGCACAGAAAACGGATTCGGCAACTGTACGAGTGGTCACTACTCCAATGAATCTTCCGGCGCTAAAAGGTCGAAGGCTGAATTCTTGAGTGCCATAGCGGCACAAGGCTGCCAACGGAACTTGGAGCGGATCCATGCCGTGGAGACCTCTTTTGCGGCTCCAGGCTGTCGGTTGAATTTGCCGGTACATGGGATATCCATGCATCACATTTTCATCGTAGTGAGTAGAAGAAGGGGACCAATGTGATGGAATGGCTGGCTTCCAAGACCAGTCCTGATGGGTTGGCCATGCGGAATCATCCCAGGTGTTATCCCAGGTGTTCCATGCCTGAGGGCTCCAACGTTGAGACATGGCTAACAGGGTCGAGCCTATGTTTCTTGGGACGTGTCGGCAAACTGAGCTGAGATTCACAGAGAAAGCGCTCAGTGATTGACAATCACAGAAAAATATTCTTAGTTATGAGAATTCACCGAGAAAAAATATTCAGCGATTGAAATCATTAAATTTAAAAAACGAATGAAACCATCGAAATAGTATGTTCGATCGACAGGCGCCATATGAAATTGAAAATGAAACAGCTCAGAAACTTGGACACAACATTTCAAAGTGACAAAATTCCGGCAAACATCGTGCAATCTCTGAAAACGTCCATCAGCAACGTCAAGCATAGCAAGCTGACAGTATTTTTATCGTGGTGGCGTCCAATCCGTTTCAGGATTAGAAAATGCAGAATGGTTGTACAGGGAATATATCAAGGATGAGGCAAACAACATGGATCAAGTAAAGACTGCAAAATTCAGTATGAAAAAACAACAAGGTGAATGAAATTCAGAAAAACCTGACCGGAGCTTGGGAATCAGATCGCCAAGCGATGCCTGTCAAATAGTGGCTGCGGGTGTTTATCACCCACATGCGGCCACGTTTGTGATGCACGCATCCTTGCGAATTCGGGCCACGGGTGAGGTCAATGCACTCACCCTCTCCGCCATTGTGCACGGTTTTTCCTGTGCCCCAGGCTAGGCCCACAAATATGGCACCGCATTCGTTCTTGCTGAGATTCGTCCCATTGTGCAAGATACGACCTAATTCGTGCGCCTCCCACGAGGTGTATCCTACTTTGAATCCCTGAGCAAAGAAACTTTCACTTTCTGCAAAGTGGAGTTTGCTAGCTGCCAGCTTACCTTCTTTGAGAATGGCAACAAAATTACCAAGTTTTGTGGCATGTGTGAAGGCCAGATGGATGATTTCTTCGAGGCCTCTGTCTGGTGCCGCCCCTCTTGGTATCGGTGGCGTCCCTGCTGGAAGGTTGGCTCTATCATACAAAATTGAGATCGGCAAAAGGTAAAAATGCTCCATTGGAGCTGGTTGGTCAGATCCCTGATTCCATCCGTAATAGCTGGGATCATACGTGGCCATTCTCATGGGTCCCAAATCTTGTGACAAAATGTCAGCCTGTGCCAGTAGCTTGGCTACATGTTGCAAAAAGGCTTCAGAAGTGGGATGTTCCTTAACTTGTTGATTCAAGAGGACTTCAAACAAGGAATACTCATGATCATTTAGTGGGACATGGCCTGACGGCGTGCTCGAAATCGGAAACGCATTAAAAGGAGCACTACCTAGCGGCACATTCAAAGATGCATTCGGAGCACTACGTACGGTCTGTGGCACCACTGGACGGGGTGGTGGTGGCGGCGGCGGAGGTCTTGCTTGAAATTGGCCGCTGTGACCGTAAATATCAAATACTCCAAGTGAAGTTTCCCAATTCCCTGGTGGGTATGTATGATGGGCTTGCTGTAAAGAGCGAGCCTCTGATCGAACTTCACTGACACTAGGTCCTGGGGACCGAGATCGTGCACGGCTATCGGATCTAGATCTCGTTTGACGAGGTCTACGGGATCGAGAAGATCTGGATCTCAGTGGTGGAGGTTGTAAAGGTGCCAAACTTCTCGGTGCAGCTGGTGGTCTACCGATTTTCTGTGCACCTTCAAGGACTACAGACATTGGTCCCGGTGGTCTTCTAGGGGGATCGAAACTTGCAGTACCATCAGTAATTGGCAGCGCAGGTCGGACCTCACTCTTGGGTCTCACCGTCGAAACCACGGCAGCCGGTGCTCGAGACGGTGGTGCTTTAGCCGCCTGACGGCTGTAGTCCCCTGCAATGAAATACACATTGTATGACATGGCTGCAACTCTACGTGTCGAAAATGGAAAATGGAAAATGGAAAACCATGACAACATATACAATTAAAAAGGAAAATGGAACATGGAAAACCATGACAACACACAATTAAAAAAGGTCAACTGTACAAGTATCAACGTGTGATACGTTTGCAGTGATTGGCTTCTTCATGAATGAACGTGAAAAACATGTCGGTTGAATGTCTGTACAGAAACTGAAAGCTGAAGTACCGTGAAAACACTGCATCGAAATTATCACTGATCCGTCCTACGAGTAAGTCTAAATGTCTATTGCTGTTTTTTCCTCCTTCGTTCTTTTTTGGCGACTCATAGTTGTTTCAGAGGAGGGCCCGAAAGCCTTTGCTCAGGAATAACCCCGAATGTTCAGAGTGAATCAGAGTGAATCAGAGTAATTCAGAGGCACAAAGTGCAATCAGAGATTTTCAGAAATTTTTCAGAGATTCTTCAACGCCTGAGAAAACATGCACGACAATTTCCATGGAGATCTTCGATCTCCGTTGGAAAGTGGAACTCCGTAGCACGAATTACTCATCTCGAGGGGACGGAAGGGAAAATTAGTCCCAAATCATATCGGATACGGTTCAAAGAAATACCGATGGCTACGATTCATGGTCAAAACGACCCAGTGGTATTGCCTTGTTGTTTTTTTCTGGACAAGGACCAGACATACCCCCATTTTTTGGTGGTGAAAAAGTTGAGGGCCGAAGCCAAATCAGAGGGATACTGTTCACACGCCGGCAGTTACCGGATCACGACAGGACCATGACGGAATCTCTGCCGAATACACACTTGAAAGACTGTATCTCGTCTATGAGTCTTTTCATTCCCAACAGGATACCTGAACTGATTCTGCTGTTTACATGCTTAGTTCAGGAAGGCCGTCTTTGTCCACATTGGACAAAAGTCGCAGAAATGGGTAAATACTGAAAAATGCGTAACGGACTCCGATTTCTCGAATTATTCATGCATATGATAAAAAATAATAACCGGAAAGTCAGCAAAAAGCTTGGATAATGAAAGAACATCGTGACCAACTGCAGGTACGTCAGGGTGATCAGCCCTGATATCCCATCCAAGACCGTAGTTTCGTTGCACACGGTGGGTCAAGGATGCCGTGTGCCCCTGCTTGTAAATTGGGAACTGAAACTAAAATTGGACATGTGATAAAATTGGACATGTGATAAAAGCCCTTCGGAACAGGGGTTGCCCCCACACACACACACACACACACATATATATATATATGTACATATATGTGATCGATACATAGAATTATATAGATGTATAATTATTCATTTTATATACCACGCATGAATCGCAAACCTTCTTCCCAAAGTGAACCCGGAGATCATCGCACTATCCAAGGCACTGGCAAATCTGAGACAAAGTCAGGTGAATATCGCCCGTGCCAGGTGGCATGTCCAAAACCAAATAGTCCAAGTCGCCCCAGTCCTCAGCGCGGTAAAAAAAACATCTGAAGTGCATAGTGCTGATCATGTTTTACCAGTTTTTAGTTTGGCATCAATTGCTACCATCAATGATTTGGTATCAATGAACCGATCAATTACTATTTTTTCTGTATCAAATGAAATTGCCATCAATGAATATGTCCCATGCTATCCCCCACTCTTCCAGACAGACACACCCGGAGCAGTTCACCCGGTGCCCAGGAGCGGTTTGGTTCACCAACTGCGACATCACTCCAGTCACCATGGAGCCTCTCATCACGGCGGCATGGCCCACAAAGCCAAAGGAGACCAATTTGATGCCTGGGTGTCACGACCGGATGTCACCGGAGGTGCTGCATGGTCGGCTTGGTTTATATGGTTGCCCATGGTTGATGGTTTAAAATGGTTTAAAAGATTTTAAAGCCAACATCACCAGACTTGGGTGTCCAAAATCCAAAAGGTACCAATTGAACGCAGAAATCCATGAATTGAATCATCAGATTCTGGGACGAGGATTCGCCACAAACCCCTGAACCGGAGATACATTGGTAGACTCGCGTAGACCTTCAACCATCCCAGCCAAGCGTTCTGTTGTTTTTGTTGATCCCAGCCCAGATATGCATCTATTTGCCTGCATTCCCTCAAATTTAGGTGAATTTAAATCTAAATGCGCAAGAATTACATGAAATCCATTGAAATCTTCCCAAAACATTATGATACCCGCATGAATTCAAAAACTGTGAAATTAAAGTTGGCCCATGTTTGGCTTCGTTTTTCCATGTTTTCCCCATACCCAAACATCACCTATATAGGTGGCCGGATGGATGGTGAAACACCGAGCGGCCAGTCTCGGGGTGGATCACCGGCCTGATGTGCCTGTCAAATCCACAACTTGCTTTTGATGCTGCCTCACATCACTCGCTACATGCTCCAAATTAGACTGACTGACCTCAATTGGCGGCACTTGGCTCAGACATCTTGGCACCTCTGCTTCTTCTCATCTTCGTACATCTCCATTCCTGAGACAGGCCATGTTCGGTTGATTTCGGTTGTTCTTCGAGGTCACCCTGATTTTTTTCAGAAACACCATAGCTTCGCCAGGGCCTTTTCGGCCGCAAAAAATCCCTGGGCCAGCACATTCCCAGCTATTATATACTATTATAATATAGTATTATATAATATATAATATATATAATATAAGATCAAAGGAGCCGGGCACATCAAGAAAATCCCTCCCTCACTGCAGAACACTTCTAAATTCTGCCGCATGGGAATACACACCGTGATGTCGCACCCGTGACGCCGAGCATCGAGGCGTCTCCTCTTGAAAGCGGACCATCACAGGCAACGATGGGCCGTAGACATCACAGTCAAAAATGCCCACTTTATAACCTCGCATCATGTCATATCGAGGATGAAATATCTGTCCACCCATCCATCCATTTAATATACATATATATATAGAGATGTGATTGCGACATTGTCAGACGAAGAGTATCGAAAGTCAAAGGCTTGGTCTTTCGCTACAATGCATCCGGGCTGTACGCGAGGCCAACATCTTCACCACCAAATAGCCAGCAAAATTCAGAGATTCATTGTGCTGGTGTGGCTGGAAATAGAGAAGAGAAGGTACAAACTCCCGAGCTTTTTCACAGTTGTTTTTGTGTCTCATTCTAGACATGCAATCATTCAATCAGTATCAATCAGTCAGTCAGTGAAAGCGATCTTTACGTTGTGGGTGGCTACCACCAGAGATGTCATCAAAACATATCGAAACCCCATCATCATGACATGCCAAGGAATTCAAGGACTCCAAGAAGCCTTTCTTGTGCAGAGCGAAGGCCAGGTTCACGGCCACAGTGCTCTTGCCCACACCTCCTTTACCTGCGCAGGAGGGAAGGTCCAAAGGGTTTGGGGCCAAAAATCAGCTCCCCAAAACTGCAGAATTGGGCAATCTAGAAGGGGCTCACCCAACCATTGCAGAACTGTTGCTTTTTCGGACACATCCTACAGATTTATATATAGTACCCATTTTCATGTTCGAAATGAGCCTTTGAGTGGTGGTTGACATCTGCAAGTCTGAATAGTTGTGTATGAGATCGTCTTGTAGATTAATATTTGATGGATATTTCTTTTAAACTCTGGTTTCTCCAGTCAATGTCTGATTTTAGCTCCCCTACAAGGAGGTTGGGCATTCGCCGGGCACTAGATCCCCCCTATTTAAACATTTACAGCTAAAGATCAGCTAAAGATGATGACATTACAACCTATTGCAACAAACCACATCTTTTTTCCTACGAAAAACCGAGGTCTACGGACAGTCCGACATCTACGAGAGCTCCCCTCCATCGAGCTCCGGGGCCCAGGCAGGAAGAGACGGCGATGATGTTCTTCACCTTCTCCAAGGATTGCGGCATCCTTGGACCATCGCCAAATCCCACAGGAAGACATGGAGCTGACTGGCGAATGGGGGCATATGTGGGCCCTCTAAACGATTGCCAAGTTGGTTTCTAACTTTCACTAGTCAGATGGAGTCAAACATCAATTAATAACTAGGGGGAAGCACCTTGAAGGTAGTTTGATTGTTTTTTGCTCAAGAAAAATTGGGGTCGGATGGGACTATCACAAAGAAACAGGGGACATTCAAAGGGTATGGCGACCTCAAGTATGATGACAGTATGGCATAGCAAAGTACGACCTGTGCTGTGAAATTACATGGGAGGCCTTACTTCTTACTGGGAAGTTGTAACTTGGGGAAGTGACTGTGGCAAAAGTACCCTCAGAAATTACCAAGACTGGCTGCTGTCAACCATGCTGTGCAGGTTGGGGACGGGTTCGCCACTGATCACCCCGGCCATAGGGATGGAACCTGATAGGCCACCTGATAAATAAAGTTGGTTTGGCCATGCCAGTCTTTGTGCTACCTTTTTGTGTTCCCCAAAGCGCACCTTAAGTCCCAACTAGTTCTCAAATGTTCTCAAAGCAATTGCAGTCTGTACTCACCCCTTTGCATCCTTTATGGTCTGCAACTGCAACCCTCCTCATTACAGCATCATTCTGATAGGATTCCCTCTTGAATTCCCCGTATTTTCCAACCCGAGCATCTGCGGCATGGGTCTGGGAAGACTTGGGGGTGGCTTAATCGAGCCGACACTGACCTGCACATCCTTTGCCCAGGAGATACTTCGAAGGCGTTCCTTGGGATGGGATGGCAGGATGCGGTGGTTGAACTAGTGGACACACCACCCAGAATCCGGAGATATGCATATTGGCATATTTATATATATATATAGCAATCCTTAAAAAGATAGGAATGAAGTTTATCACTATTGACTATTTCAGTAAGATTTTAGTTGTCTGTCTTTTAGTGGTGCTATAATTGACGATAATGGATGCATTATGGTTTAGTAGTTCTACAGGCAGGACTGAGGGTTTGCCCGGAACGGAATGAATGATTAACGTCTTAAGGAGGCCATGGCCCATTTCACTGCGCAGGCGAAGTGTTGTATGACTCTGGTACATCTGTGCAGTAATATGGCCCAAGACATTTTTTTAAAAAAGCAGTCTGAAAAGTGAACCCTCTGAGGACTTTATGCTTTCCGGCCGTTTCCCCTTTTTCACTTTTTTGGCGAGTCTGAAGTTCATATGTCATCTTGCCACAGCCATGTGCAATTCTCCACATGAAACCCTAATAGAAGTATGCTTAGTTGTTCCATGGGGCCAGTGGATTTATCATTCATGTAAGCCCTAAATGAAACCCTAATGGACTAATAGAAGTATGATGAAGTATGGTTATCTGTTCTATGGGGCCGGGGGATTTTATAACTACCCAATGTCAATGTAACCCTAAATGAAACTGGTATGTGGCAAGATACCTTTCTTTCGTCTTGGCAACAATCATGATCATGTTTGTATGAATGGAAACGTCCCTGGTACTGGGATGATGGTTCCAATGGGTTGCTGGCTTGCCGGGTAATTATAGAAGAAAGGTATGTCCGGTCTGGTCTCTGGCTCTTGAGATACGCATGCGTGACATGAACATCAAGATATATCAAGATATTACCCGTTCAGCTTTGAACATGACCCATCAAGATACTCTCTGGTGAACTAACATAGCAATTGAAAATGGCCATAGAAATAGTGGATTTTCCTATTAAAAATGGTGATTTTCCATTGCTATGTTAGTTCACCAGAGGGTACTCACGCCATTGAGCGAATCAAGCTCTTTAACGCTGGTTCATTCTTGGCTCATCGATGTGTCAGGATGTAGATCATCCCATCCCCTCGGCCTGGGCCTGTTATTCCAGTGGCATTGCCATTAGAACTGCCACTAGAATTGCCATTAATATTTACGCACACACACACACACTGTGCTTTTGGGTATGGGTAAACATATGTAAAAATATGTTTTTTTCTAACCCACCAAGCCAAAATTGATCTGGCTTAATATGAGTTCATACTAGGCACAGTGACCCTTCTTTAGGTCCCCCAAGTTTGACCCACTACCCACTTCGCCGGCCCAGCATGCCCAGCTGCCTCCACTTCCGCCTGGTACACTTCAACCTCCAGCACCAGGGAGATATTCCCAGTGACGCGATCGGCTTTGATGGCCCCCACGAAACCACTGGAAACCTCCGTGGTTTCAAACCCGCCGCTTGAGAAATATGACTCAGAGAGAGTTGGTGAAGAAACTGCAACTTTGGCATTTGGCAATGTGGGTTCGGGATGGTTCTGGTAATTGGGTATCATGACGTATCATGACGTATCATGTGGTATCAGATGGTATCAGTACAGTATATGTATCAGTAGCATGGGACGGAATTTTTGGTGGCAAATGCTCATCAGTCCTTTGTCTGAAAACGATAGAACATGATTAATTACATCTGGAGTGAATGGCGTCACAAAAATCTTCTCTTATCGATGGGTAGAGGCCCAGCCAGCACAGTGAGTGAGTTTGACAGTTTCCTGCATGCAGCCGGAATCCTGAAACTCTCCCTTTCGCACATAAGATCCCACACCAGGCCAAGCCGCAATGTCTGTCCCCAGGCCAGGATCTTTGACTTCCTTCAGCGCTTCCTGGGTGAAGTCTGGAAAAAGAACCCAGGCACCCAGGTGGCCAGCATCTTCATTGCGGCGTTTATCTCGTGGTTTTGTGCATGTATGGACAATCAAAATCACCAGAAATCGCCTTAAAAATAGCTAATATATTAGCCAAGTCTCCATGACTTCCTTTACAGGTGTCAGCTCGTTTCCAGCCCTTCTCGCGATGACACTTCTCCTTTCCCTTGCCGCCAGAGCCACCGCCGATGCGGCCGCGGTGCTTCGCGCCGCCCCGCTGAGCGGCGCGGAGTGCGCGGCAGGCGGGGTCTGGGTGGCCAGCCGAGGAGGGAGCCGCGGCAGGGGCGCAGCACGACTCAAGCTGATGGCTGCCATGATCTTGGCAAGTTTTGTGAAAAAATTCTGGGGTTCCTCAAATTTGGGACCCCCAAAAAGCAATCCTAAGTCTCTTCATTTTTCGAAGGAACAGATATGTTCTCCGTCATGGTTTGTGGGCTTGGGTCATGGGTGCTGCTTCATCATATTGCTTTTACCATGTTGGAACATGGATGAAGAATAGCGGCATCTTGCCAGCGTTTTTTTGCGCCCTGGATCCAAAAATGCATAGCCAAATCCAGCCGGGAGCGCCTGAAAATAGGCATATCCCTGAAGTGGCAACTTTAATGGGGGAAATACTGATTATATATAATGATTCACCAAATATTGTAGGAGGTAAACTATTTTCAGATAAACCCAGCTACAGTAACTGCAACAAGGGGGTGACCTCCCAGCATGAGTGCTCCAGTGTGTTTCTGGTTCCACCTCTGAAGGTAGAATCAAGTTAACAGTTCAGAATCTAGCCACATGTCAAACCACTAATTGTATCTAACATATAATGTCCGTACATTTTGTGGAAATTTACCTCACAGTGGTCACAGTTGCTGTGGCTCCCCGGGTGCTTTTGTTTTTTGCCCCAAAAAATTGAGAAAAACTCCCAGTCGCCCGGACTTTGGCCATTCATGGCCTATAGCACCCTCCTGCTCTGCTTGGTAGAGCTCGCGGTAGCACTTCACTGCCTGATCCACAGCGGCTCGCAGAAAATGTACCCATGTAGACATTGTCTGGTTGGTGGTTGAGCCACCCTCTGAAAAATATGAAAGACAGTTGGGTTATTGTTCCCAATATATGGAAAAATAAAAGTCATGTTCCAAACCACCAACCAGTTGTTCATTCTCCACCGTTGCTGTCACATGATTCAGTCGAGTTGCTCGGGCATGGGCCAGCAACATGTGATGTGCTGCGAGGTACCTGAGTTTCGCTGCAAAACCGCAAGGCCGCTAGTCCGACATTTAAGCGGATGTTCATGATATCTTTATTGAATCTTAATGGGTGTGTTCAGGGGAAGTTGATCTAAACTACGGCTTTGCCCAACAAATATACTGTCCTAAGAAAAACAAACTCCTCCATATGAACTCCATAGAGTTCTATGGGATTCCTGAAGCTGACTGTGTTGGGCACGTAGGCATACAGTAAGCATGAGCCTGTGCCCCTACCAGTTGCAAAGAAATGACATGACATACAGATACATAATGATTACATACAGTATCATTCATAAGTTTCAATTATGTGGTTCTGTCTGAAAGCCCGGAGGTTGCCCTGAAAACTTGAAAATCGGAGTTCCTTTTTTTTGGGGCATGTCGTACTACAGTTCAAACATGTTATCTATGTTTCTAACTGTAATATCACATTGTGCTAACAAAACAATAGATACACTAAACCATACTATGATATACATACGAAACCATAGATATTATAGTTATAACATACCTTAGGTTACATGCACACAGCAACAACGAAGCAAATTAAAGCTGATAAAACCCGACTAAAATGATGGGTAAATTACATATAATCATATAATTACATAAATGACGTGGCGGACAAAATTCTTTGTTAAATTTCATGCCTTGCTTTCGGTTGTGAGGATTTCAGTCTCCCGGAGGTATCGCAAGTGGGGTATCGGTAAAGAGTCGTCCCATATCGGTTATGAAGGTTTCGTTCAGCCTCAGAAAGGCCAAAGCGAAGCAAAACCAAATTAGTGTTACGATAACTGTGTCGGTTACTCACATATAATACTATATCCATTATATTAGTGAAACAGCCAGCCAAACACTATGAATCTATTTGAACACTAATTCCCATAGGATCCCAACGGTGCTGCTATATATGGTGTGCCATGGATCCCATCAACAAAAAACCCATAACAATGTTAGCATTTTTCTACCAGCACCAGCCGGATCCGTCATGGGATTTGAACACATTGGTTACCCTCTGGTAAACTAACATAGCTATTGAAAATGGCCATAGAAATAGTGGATTTACCCATTAAAAATGATGATTTTCCATAGCTATGTTACTGGCCGTGCCCCCTCCATTTCTGGCCCCGTTGCGGCTCGCGCCCCGCGTCAGCGCTGCGGCCCGGCGCATGTTCTCCGTTGCCGTAGCCCAGGACGCAGCAGCACCAGGGCTCCTGGCCACGGCATGGATCACTGTTTTAAAAGTATACCCTCTGGTGAACTAACATAGCTATGGAAAAACACAATTTTTAATGGGAAAATCCACTATAAATGGTCATTTTCAATAGCTATGTTAGTTTACCAGAGGGTATCATGTGGAGAACCCAACAAATAATCGAACAGAATCTACCATTTTTGTATGGGTTTATTATAATTACTAGCCATGAAAATATATCAAAATGGTGATTTCGGGCATACATATAGTTTTGATTTATAGCATTGAGTTTGCCACTTTAATTCAGTGTATATGCCATTGTTGGATTGTTGGCATTGGTCACAAATCTGCCCTTCTAAAATCAGCCTTGGAATGTAATGTCCCATGGAATAATGCGGTGCACATATACACATGTATATATATATATACATGCATATATATATATGCTACTATTATCTACTATTATTTGAATCTATTTGAGATTATTTACATTCTATTACTATATCTATAAACTCTAAACTCTAAACAAGCCAAACAACTGCATACACATGTGACTATGCGATCTGAAGCAATATTCCGCGCACTTGCTGCGACGTAACAAGTGAATCTTTCTGTGGGACTCCCCTCTGTGCATTCTTTTCCATGGCTGATTGTGACAAAGGGAGGCAAAGGGAGGAAGGCCGGCTGGGACTTGCAGCCGTGTTACATTCAAAGTGATCCAGTGCTTGACATAACCTGGGAGGTGTGCGAGGGACAGCAAGCATGAGAGTTGTGTCCAATTCTTCCCAACTTTGTGGTTTTTAGGCATTGTGGCCCCTTAAGCGTCTCCAGCTATAGCACCTGCCACATGTCCAACATACGAGTAACAGAGATGTGCCATGAGGCTGAGTCTTCAACAGACCTTTAAAAGAAGATGCATGTGGGTTATCTGTTGCGTAAACTTGTCGTCCAAGGTGTTGACCTCCATGTTTTTCTTTTAGAGTTAGCAACTCTCCCCAATGTTAGCACTCGCATGCTGCCGGTCCCAACTTTAGCCACAGCACCAGTTTTCTAGAGTTTTCGAAGTTCTGTTTAAGCAGAGGCCCTTCAACCAGCAAACTGATTCAACTTGAGGCCAGGGTAGGGCACGAAAACTAGGAGGACGGTACTAATGTTGTACCGGAGACTGCTCAGCTGAAAGAGTAAACTGAAATAGGAGTGTCTAACCGCCAAAGGGAAGAACCAGATTGAGATCCGAACAGAGAAAGGGGCTGATGATGATGCTGATGACGACGACGATAATGATGACGACAATACTTCTAAAAATTCAGAAGATGAAGATAACGATGCAAATGACAATGACCCTCAACCCTTGACCAGGGGGGATTGAACCCGGGCCTGCCAGGGGGGAGGCGCGGTGGTATAATGTTTTAAAATTTCAAGGGATTCGAAGGTCCTCCGTCTATTCCTTGCTAAAGCAACTTCGCAACTTCAGCTAGCATTAGTACAAGCTAGCTTTGGTGATGTCACGGACTTCATCAAGACTACCGGGCCTTTATGCTGAACAAGAACTGAGATGAATGACTCCGGGCTTGGACACTTATTTCGACAAGAAAAGGGCTCCAAGGTCCCTCTCTCTACTATTTGTTCTATAGGATTTCTGACGCATGTTCTGAGCCCAAGTCCGCAATGTTTTTTTTCCCCAAAGGTTTCTACAAAATTTTATGGGCCGCTTTGAGCCCATTGAAAAAAGCGATGTGGCATCGAAATGACACGAATCCGCTGTTTCTATGTACAGTTTTGGTGAACCGCCAGGTGTCAAGCATCTTCAAAGAGACCTTAGCAAATCGCTGCCAAAACGATTGGAAAATCCCCTTGGTTTGATGCATGGATCCCCCCATGGGCATCAAGGTTCCTACTTGAGCGTCCAGAGAATCCAGTTGGCAATCCCACTGCACCACTATGCAATTCCACTCATTCACAATTAATTCCTATGAAAGGCCACCAGACCGCTATGACATTCCACTTAATCAGCATTAATTCCTATTAAAACCCATTAAACCACTATGAAATTCCACTTAATCACCAAAAATTCCCATTAAAGCCCACTAAACCACTATGAAACTCCACTTAATCAGCATTAAGCCCTATCAAAGGCCCATTAAACCACTATGAAATTCCAGTTAATCACCATAAATTCCCATTAAAGCCCACTAAACCACCATGAAATTCCACAAAGCCTACTACACCACTATGAAATTCCAGTTAATCACCATAAATTCCCAATAAATCTCACTATACCACAATGAAATTCCTCTTAATCACTATTAATTCCTATGAACGCCCACCAAACCGCTATGACATTCCACTTAATCAGCATTAATTCCTATTAAAGCCCATTAAACCACTATGAATTTCCATTAAATCACCATAAACTCCAATTAAAGCCTACTAAACCACTATGGAATTCCACTTAGACTTCCTATTGAAGCCCACTAAACCACTATGAAATTCCACTTAATCGCCATCAATTCCTTTTAAGTTCTACTAAACCACTATGAATTTCCAGTTAATCACCATTAGTTCCTATTAAAGCCTACTAAACCACTATGAAACTCCAGTTAATCACCATTAGTTCCTCTTAAAGCCCATTAAAACGACTATGAAATTCCACTTAATCACGATTAATTCCTATTCAAGCCCACTAGTCACTAAACAACTATGACATTCCACTTGGTCACCATTAATTCCCATTAAAGCCAACTGAACCAGTATGAAATTCCAGTTAATCACCATTAGTTCCTATTAAAGCCCACTAAACCACTATGAAATTCCAGTTAATCACCATAAATTCCCATTAAAGCCCACTAAACCACTATGAAATTCCACTCAATCATCATAAATTCCGATTATATAAATCCCACTAAACCATTATGAAATTCCACTTAATCACCATCAATAAACAAAATCAACTACAGACCACTGACACCACCAGCCATCTTCGCAGCCAGCAACCTGCAGTGCTTGGGGGCGGGAAGGGCGAAGCCCAGCCCAGGAGCCGCCAAAGAAGCGACTGGACCTCGCCATCCTGTTAGAGATCAATGGCTTTTCCAGGGACAAATCTGCAAAAAGCAGTGTTTTTCAAACATGGCAAGGCGGAAAATCCCATGGAAAATCCCCATGCTCTCAAAGGGTTCGCTGGCAAAATCTGCGAACATCACCCCAGCCAATGGCGGATGTTCCATTGGAAACTGATGGATTCCCCATAGGAAACCCTCCGGGGCCTCACGCTGCAGGTGCTCCAAGGTAGCTTGGGCATTGCCCTTTTCCAGGGATGGTGCCTGGTAGCCAGAGGCCTCCACCAAAGCTTGGTACCTCAAATTTCAACAGCAAAACCCACTAAACCCACTGGAATGGAACCCAACATAAATTTGGATTAGTTTTCTGCTTGGGGAGAAGAGGTTAATACATGTTAATATGGGTTTATGTATAGAAAGTAACTGCTTAGTAGAGGGGATTCTCTCTCATTTTTGCTCTAGTAATCCTCTCTGCCTATTACTAACACCCCCCCAAATGGTAAGCACGGTGATCTATGTTTATTATTAGGTGGTATTTTGTATTTAATCTTAGGGTGCACCTAATATTCCACTAAAAACCTTAAAAATAACAACAAAAATTCTCGATTTCAAATTTGATTCCTTATTAAAATTTGTACAAAATATTGCCAAAACTGGATTTCCAAGCTTTCCCCTAATATTCCAATGAAAAACCTTAATAATAAAAATAAAAAACTCGATTTCAAATTTGATTAATTCAACCCCTTATTAAAATCTATAAATATTGCCAAAGACTGGATTTCGAAGCTTTCCCCTTATATTCCAATGAAAAGCCCTAACAATAAAAATAAACAATTAAATTTCAAAATTGATTAAATCCCTTATTAAAATCTATATAAAATATTGCCAAAAACTGGATTTCCAAGCTTTCCCCTAATATTCCAATGAAAAACCCTAAAAAAAAACTTGATTTCAAATTTGCTTGAACCCCTAATGAATTAAAATATATATAAATAAAATATTGCCAAAAACTGGATTTCAAAACTTTCCCCTAATATTCCAATGAACACCTTAATAATACAAATAAAAAATACAACTTGTGAGATGGGACCCTAATAAAAAAACATCCAGGTGGCAGTCTACCTTTATTAATAGGGGGTTGAACCCATTGTTTCACCATCCTGTTCTCCTGTTGATTCTCAATTACCACAATTAAGAATCCAATTGTGCCCAACCAAAAAAAAAAACGAAAGTGCCACACCAATCCTATATCCCCAGGAATTGGGAACATACCTGCGGGATGATCTTGCGGAGGTTCTTCTCAGTGAGCAAATGTGGGAAAGCACTTTTGGAAGCCACTGAATCCACTTTGGAAAAACTGGAGTATATAGTATATTAGTGGTGGGTTGGAACTTGATCCGGAGAAAAGCATTGAAAAATGCGGCTTTGAGAAACGTGACATTTCAAAAAGGTTGGCAGCTGACTAGGCACGATGAATCAAGGTGATCCGCGCAATACTTCAAAGAAATTGCGCATCGTTTCTACTATCTACCACGACTTCCTATATGTATGACTCCCTTTTGGCCGCTGGTGTATGTTGGGAAGCCCTCCCTTGCCACCGGCTAAAAAACTTCAGCAGGATTGGCTCCAGCTGGGGTTGTCGGAAAATAAGGTACCCAAAGATTCACTGATTCATTTTCCAGATAAAAATTGCCACAACTTGGGGTAAATCATGGTACCCTCTGGTAAACTAACATAGCTATGGAAAATCACAATTTTTAATGGGAAAATCCACTATTTCTATGGCCATTTTCAATAGCTATGTTAAATTACCAGAGGGTAAGTTGCCCATGTTCACTTCATTTTGTCAGATCCCCCTGACTGCCAAACTGCAAGGGCAACGGCACTTGCGGAGCAGCCTGTAGCATCTTGGCCCAAAGTTCCTGCCCTGCAGCGTGATCTGCATGGTTCCAGAGCCGGGCCTCCTTGGACCAGCTAGGACCATAGCAACCTGAGAAGCTGAGCTTTGTGAATCATGAAAAACAGCCTCAACCGGGGCGATAGAGGCGAAATGTGCCTTTCCCGAAATTTGCGTTTCTTGATGCGAAAACAGATGCAAGCTCTATGATGAATTCAAGATAATTCAAGGCTCTCTAGTGGGTCATCAATATGGTACCGCAGAAGGGTCATGGATCGTACTAGCATTGACGATAGAGTGATAATATCGTATATCTATTGGTGCGGTAGACCTCAAACATGAATCACCCATTTGGGGCTGCTTATGGTCTTCAATATCCCAAGGTATGGTAAGTCATTGGGTAAATGAGGTATGGTTTCTGGTTTTGGGTTTGTCACACTATATTACATCAGCTGATGCCACCAGGGGCAAGCTATAGAAAGTTATGGCTAAGTTATGGCTCTGAATCAAGTTACGGATCTTGAAATTCTGAAACCCCGAACGAATATATATATATATATATATACACAAAACAGATCATTCAAGAGGTGCCATAAAATCCGCTGCCCGCCCCTAGGTGCTACCCGGTTGCGATCCAGAAAGGCCTTTCAGAGGGAAGACGTCTGAGGAAATGCGGGGAAAAGCCAAGGTCGCGTTTTGGACATGATGAACATAATTTCGTGGGATGTACCATGATGCACCTGATGCAAACCTGACACAGAACTTGATAGAGATCCACACTGCAATTATGATCAATTATGCACATTTTGATCTCATGCGACCATGGGGATAGGAATAAATTAAAGAATGCACATGGCCAAAGCCACATGTGTACAAACAGGGTTCGACAGCACCCTCTGGGAACGAGGTTTGCGGAAAAAGCATTGAAACCGTATGACAATTGGGATACAGCAATGTATCCGAGGCAATTGCAACTGGGACTGGTTCTTGTGGGTATTGGGTATCCCTCCAAATCAGGGTCCAATTGCCCATTGTTTGTTCTCTTGGCCCAAAAAAAATCTATCTGGCATCTGTCTAGCATTCTATCTGGCATCTATTCTGGCATTCTATCTGGCATTCTGGAGGGTGTTCGGGTCCAGGCGTGCTCCACTGCACCCGGAGCTTGCGATATGGCTCGGCAAGAAGAGGGAGTGAGTGGCAGAGTGAGGCACACCTTTATTCAATCTCGAGACCCTCACCTGGCAGGTGGGGGATCATGGCTGCCCTCCCCAATAGTTCGTCTATCCCCACTAATCTTCGCAGTCCATAATTCATACATTGATCGGAAAAAAAAGAGACCCCTAAAAATCAAAACTGCTCATTTGTACAAAACTGCTTGGAAGCGCAGTTCCGGTTACAAGTCGTGGATATATATATATATATACACATTTCTCCATAGCTATCCATAGCTGCCATGGGGTCAAAAACCGCCTGCGGCCTTGGCATCTCTAGGGCCTGGCAGCAGCAAGTCATGGAAGGCATAGCGTTGCAAAGGGAAGACCTCCTGGTCCGAGGGAAAGCACGGCTCCTTGCGCGTTGGCGATGCTGGGATTTTGTCCACGACTTAAAAAAAGGTGTCTAAAGGCGGAAGATCCGCAGAAAGCCATCGCTTTGGAGAGTTTTGGGGATCCAAATCCAAGAATGTGTTCCTTGAAAAGCCAGATTCAAAGCTTTTTTGGGCCTGAATTGGCTGAAAACCAAGGCAATCTGCACCAAACATTACTGTAGGTGGACACACATGCGACTGACATATGTGGTGTGAGCGAAGAAAATCAAACATGAATGAAACATTCCAAACAATGCATCCGCAACAAAAATAGAGATGGAACTAGGGCATACGTGACCCAGTAGCAGAAGCAACTTGGAGATTGCTGCCGTTTACCCAACAATATATATTTATATATGTGTATGATTCTATAAATATATATATACACATGAATGTACGATAATGTACGATTATGAGTGTTTGGTAATGTTTAGTACTCTCGCTTCTTTAACTATCCATTAAATACATTTAAAATCATTTAAATACACACATATAAATTTACATATAATCCCCATGGATCCAAGTACCTTCTTATGATTTGGGGGGTTAGCCGTACCTTCTCAGGAGGTTTTTGTATCCATAGCGCTGCCCGAGTCTCAGCTTCCAAGGGCTTCCGGCGCAGGAAGAGGTCCAGGACGAGGACCTCCCAGAAGACCAGCCGCGCCATCCGCTGTCCTGAGAGCAGCTGGTGGCCGGAGCGGTCCCGCGGAAAAAACATGTGGAGAGATATGGGAAAATGATGAAAACATCTATGGAAAACCATGGAAACATCATGCTCTAACCAAGCATAAGTGGCATGTGTCTGAAAATTTAGGGGGAAAGCCCTAAATCCCCTGGTTCATAATCAAATTCCTTATTCAAATAGGCAATTTTGGAGGTATCGCCACCCCGTTTTGAGACAAACCCATGACCGTATGGAAAAAACGTGGTTTAACCAAGCATCAATGGATTGACTGGATGATTTATTAGGAAGAATTGTGGGTAAACAGATCAAACATTGGATGTTGACCAACAAATACGACATTCAATTGGCTGTCCAGGGAAAATGGATACATAAGCTGGATAACCAACTAGAAATGGTGGATTTACCAAGGATAAATGGGGATAGCATATAGCAATGGATTTAAAGGGCAACGTGCAGGAAACGATGGTGTTTACCCCTAAAGGTATAGTATACAGTAGATAAATTGAGAATAAAGCAAAGTATCAGAGTTTCCTGTAACATTTTCTAGTATCCAATTGTGGGATAGGTACGGGTCCGCAAAAAATGAGGGTGCAATCAGCCAACAGTTGGATCAACATGTATCAGAATTTGCGAGCAACAACAAAGGCTTTTTATCTTGGGTACCCTGCACAATGTTTGCTTAAATGTGCACCCATTACCCATTGTCCCACCATTGCAGAGTTTACTCAGAAATGGGGTTACTCTGCTAATTTTCTGTAGAGTGTTGTGGAAAAAGTAGTGTACCAGCCTGTCCTGAGTATTTGAGCAGGATTCCCCTGGGCAAATATTTAAAAAGAGGATTTGATTTAAGTTATTAAAAGGACGCTAACCGTCAGCGATCAGAAAGCAAGTTGCGGTCCTTCCCAGTGGCCACTCTCAACAAAGTGACCTGGCAAGGAGCCTTGGAACAATGGCGAGGAATGACCCGCAACGACAAGAACATGTGAGTGAAGTGTCTATGCCACTTCATTTGCACATGATGCAGTGTGTACCTTGCATATGTGTATGCAAAGAATCACTGTACTTATGTTAGCAATGCATTCTAATGCACCCATACGTACCCAAGGATCAAAATAATTCCAAGTTCAACGAAGGCAGAAAGGTTCAGCCACCAGAATGCCCAGTATGTTAAGCACCATCCAAACAAATGAGGCCTAAAGCAAGAGTATGTTCTGAAAGTTCAACTGAGGGCTGTAAACTGCGCGCAGCCAAGATAAATGCAATCCCCTAATAGGAGAGTTAGGCAGCTGGAAACTAAGATATTAAAATAACAAAACATGTAAATATCATCCCTCCATAACATCCTTGAAAAACATCAGTCTATTTGAAGGCTCCTAGGCCGCAATCCATTCATCTAGCTACGCTGATGAGCCACAAAACAATGACAGTTGCAGGTTGTGTCCCACTGTTCAAGCTACGAAAATGGAGGTGTCCATTCTAATCATCACAGAAGGCTAACCCCCCCCCTATAGTAGGCCTTAATTAAGACCAAATTAAGGGTTGAGTGGTTTTCCCCAATTTTTGGTTCAAAGTGCTTAATTTGGCCTTAATTCTTTGATGGGATTACTGAATTGGCTTTCAAGGGTCTTTCCTACATTCATAGAATTTTGTCTTGGGTCAAAAGAGTAAACATGTGTACAAACAAAGACCCAAGTGAATTTTTGAACAAACAGAGGAAAGCACCAAATCAAATTAAGATTTTAACAAAAAAAGGAAATTGAACGTTTCCAAGTTACGAATAAAGAACTGCGCTGAAGCGAACAAGCAACTATTTTGACTTTCACGCTTCAACATTCGCAAGTTTCCAGATTAGACCCAATTAAACCCAACGAACAAAAACCACAACGAAATATCAAATTTTCCAAATCAAGACTAAATTAAGGGCCAATTAAGCTTCAAATGGTGGAAAAACACAGGGAAAATCAAAATTTCAAAATTAAGACCAAATTAAGGCCTAATTAAGGCCCAATTAAGGCCTAATTAAGGCTCAAATGGTGGAAAACACCGGGAAAACACAATTTTCCTAATTAAGGCCAAATTAAGGCCTAATTAAGGCTCAAATGGTGGAAAACACCGGGAAAACATAATTTTCCACATTAAGACCAAATTAAAGCCTAATTAAGGCCTAATTAAGGCCCAATTAAGGCCTAATTAAGGCTCAAATGGTCGTGGAAAACACCGGGAAAACACAATTTTCCTAATTAAGGCCAAATTAAGGCCTAATTAAGGCCCAATTAAGGCCTAATTAAGGCCTAATTAAGGCTCAAATGGTGGAAAACACAGGTTATGACCAAATTAAGGCCCAATTAAAACTCAAATGGTGGAAAAAACAATGGGAAATCCAATTTTCCATATTAAGACCAAATTCAGGATCCAATGGTGGAAAAGCACAAGCACATTTTAAATTTCTGAAATACATATACAATGCGAAGGACCTAAGTAAGCGTAATTCCAATCAATTTGACATGATAGACATTGGAAATACGCCGCCTGGATTGCACACCAAATGAGGAAATATATTTCCACCAAACTTACACCCATCCAGGTCATGAAATGCATCCAAAGACCGGACTACATTGGGAGAAGTGGACCAAATAGGACCAAATTAAGGATTTTCATCCAAAGAATTTGGAATACACTGGAGAAATTGAATAAACATGAAACACGGCAAATGTCACCAAAATTATGACTGAATTAAGCTAATTTGGCCTTAACTAGGCTTTATTTTTTTTTCACCAAAATAAGGCCTAGTTAAGGCCTTATTAAGGCCTTAATTTGGTTTTCTGGGAAGGGGGGGGGCTAGGGGGGGTTAGCTCTCTATGAAATCATCAAGTCACCCCGTCATTAAAGAACAAGGGGAACACATGTAAAACCCTTATAAACATCCAAGCCTATGACTTGTAAGTCACACTCTCCTACTCAAACATGACAACGGGATATCAACATCTTCAAGAGGAAACATATCTATCATATTTTGATGGTTTGATTGTGCGCAAGTAATCCCACTGTAACTGCGACTGGCCGGGCAAGCAGGTGCCATTGAAGTCTAAGACACTTGCAGCGAAGGCTGCCTTGATTCGAGGTGTATCCTCCTAGATAGCGTGCCCCGGGTGTTCCCACCTGCCCAGCTGGCTTCTGGTCAAAACCACATATTTTCAAACCTGGTCAATGAATACCCCAGCACACCTCAGCTATCATCCCGGTGAGTAGGTTCATGAGCTGACTGAAGTGATGGATAGTGATGGTACAGTAAAGCCATCTTTTTTTTCGGGAGGAAAGCCATGCGAGCTATGTCATGTTCTTCCTCTTGGTAGGCATCCATCTACAGCCAGAGATCTATGGCCTATTCTCCACGTCTCCTCGAAACATTCCAGATCAACGTCATCATCGTGCGGAATGAAACCTTCATGCCGAAGCGCCCCCAGAAGAGTGCCACCCGTCATCCAGTAGGGAATGTTTGCCTCTGCAGACCCAAGATGATGAGGCGCTGGGTTGAAAACTCCTGTAGACCTTCCTTAGTTTCAGGGGCCTACCCTTTAGCAGACTCTAGCAACTCAACCTACGCAAAGAACACAAACTTTTGGAGATGAAGTGCAGATAGTAACATATAGTAACTGGGGATGCCAATTTGCCATCCCCATCTTCTTTCGTGATCTGCCCAATTTTTTACTGGAGTAATTGCCATAGTTGGTGTTGCTCCCTGTTTCCATTAAATGATGGTTCAATGGATGAATCTGGTCTACTTGAATACACTTACACAACATATCTCTATATACATACATATTGTATACCTATAATACTGTATATATCATAACTATATTTTTACTTCATTAAATTGTAAAAACATGCTGTATCTACTATACTTCGCTTAAACACATCGTCATGATATTTCTGTGCGGCGCTGCGCTGCGCCTCGCTGAGCACCTCATCCACCACTTGCAGCAAGCCTCACAGATTGGGGGGTTGAAATGTTGCGGGCTGCTGCTTTCAAACCCAATTGCTGTATATAGTAATTATATAGTAATATAGCAATCATATAGGAATATAAATATAGCAAAACATATCTAATTAGATGTGTATAGCAAATATATTGTTTCCTTGTTCATCCTTTTTCTTTGGTAGTAAACCCAGATTGTTGGTGTTCTTTCTGTTGTTGTGCCGGCCCTTGGATAAACTTGAAGACATCCGTTGCTGGGCCTCATTGGGAGGTGCACCAATTGGGGCAACTGCAAGGTGAACGGAACGAAAAATTAATAACATCCCTCCAGCAGCTTCAAACTTCAGCCGAAGTTAGGATACTTCCATTATCTCCGCACCCAAGCTAAATCAAAATTTGACCCAGCTTCAGCCACTGAAGTTCCATTGTTCCCTGTCTTCCCCCTGAGTTGTTCCACATGTTTGGATGAATCTGAAGGCACAGGAGCCCAATAAAACCTTCTGCTTGAGCACTGGAAGCTGCTTGGAGCCAAGATCAGCCTGCCACAAAGGGACGGTGAGATATGCTCTGAACAAATGGAGAAGATTTATGATGAGACAGTGATCGGGATGACTGTCCATATGCATAGATAATATATGCAAAACACACAAGCAGGGTTTAAATAGTATATTTTTATAATATATATATATAGGTATATATACATAAGTGTGTGTGTATGTATAACATTATAATATTCCGTAATCATACGTGTACGTCTACGGAGCGCAGAGGTAGCCATCAAGCACGATGATAATGAGATATAATATGATATAATGAGGGATCTAACCTTCTCTCAGAATTGGGCTTGGCATTGCTTGGTTCATTAACGGTTACCATTTGGGCGTAGTGACCTAGACTCGAGTACCAGTTTGGGACTAGAAAGGTCAGCTGAGGAGGTCTCCTGAACGTAACATCTCTGAGGATCACATTCTGCACAGGCATGCGCAGGCGGCAAGCTAGGCACGGCCATGGCTTATCGCAACGCAGGCCATGTATTGGCTGTACATGGGGGATTTACATGGATTTACATGGGGTCCCTGGGGAAACCTTGCCCACTCGCATCAAAAGTGGCGATTTATTCAAATTTATTCACCCTCCGGTTTCAAATGCTGGCCACCATGAACGTACCCTTGGGCAATCACACGTGGCAATTTTTTCAATGCCCCATTCATAGATTTTCTTTTCCCCGCTTTTTCAAGCTCCTTTGATTATCGGGATGTTCTAAAATTGCCACGTTTGATGATCGGAGGGCAGATCAAATTTCTTGGGAAAGCAGTTTCTTGGCGCGAGGGCCCATATATATGACGGCTGCGGCGTGATCAGTCCATTCCATGTAGCCATGACCCAAATGACCCACACACAATCAACATATGAATCCTATGAATTATATAAAGTATATAATATAGGGTAACAGAGGGGTATCAATGTGAATAACATATGAATGTAACATGAACATAATATCAATATAACATAAATCTGATATAATAAATATGAATACCATTGAATACCACGATACTGCAGTTATGTTTACAAACGACCTTGATTGCCCAATGTCTTTTGGTTATATTGAAAACCAACTAAACATGACGCAGTCCAATGTGCATTTACTTGACAAGTGAAACCGCATTAGTTGACCTCGTCTTATTCATGCGAAGATTGCCTTTCTGCTGCCGAGGGGCTTCCAAAGCACTCGAAACATGTTGAAGCAAAGGCTTCAAAATCCGGAATCACCTGCGAATGCCACAGTTTGTCACATAGCGCCATAGAAAGGTTTGGATCTGTATCGATAAAAATTGGGGCACTCCAAAAATGGAATTCTCCTCAAAAAGACTGAGATGTGTGCTCTCAGCTCCAGAGTGCTGACCCATATCCGCACAATATGAGTTCTAGGTGGTGCCCACATATCCATCTGGACAGGTTTCGATCCATCTTTTCAGGGACAAAATCCGCAAAATCGTGGATCACCATCGGCTCACTTTGACATCAAATCAGACATTGTCACATTGCAATTCTGCTGTCATTGTACTATACTTGATCTATTTATCAGATATATACTTGCAAATGTCTAGCATAGATGACATACTTGTAAAGGCTGGACATATATTGTGAGTCATACTATTTGTAAATGCTGGACATATTTTTTCTAGCCTTGCGTCCATGGATGTCCATGGCATGATTCGTGGGATCACAGCTGTGCCTTAGGAGAAAGCCAGCCACCATACCTGCGATGGCTCATTGTTGTATCAACTTTGCGAAGAGGAGAGGTCAACCAAAAGAACGATAATAATAGTACCCTCTGGTAATTTAACGTAGCTATTGAAAATGGCCATAGAAATAGTGGATTTTCCCATTAAAAATGGTGATTTTCCATAGCTATGTTAGTTTACCAGAGGGTATGTGATACTACATAATCAATATCAGTACACAACTCTTCCAATTCCAATGGGAAAATACGAGCAGCATATAGGCATATGATGATGGCATATGATGATGGCATATGGAGGTATGTTTGAAGCACTGCCTTTGCAAAATGTTGCTTCGCATGGTTCGCCCTGGGCACAGGGTTTTACCAAACCTGAAAGAATCATCATCAATCATCAAAGCTTATTGTAGTAAAACCCCATGCCAGGATGGTTTTCCAAATGAAGAAGTTATAGCCTTCAAAGCTGTCCAGCCCTGACAGACCTGGCTGCTTCTGACATGTCTACCATCATTTAGTAAAATTTATAGGAACCCCGGAACCCCCATTCCCATACTACTCCCATACTATTCCCAACAGTAGATCCCCTATTTCGTATGGGCAGTCGGAATTCCAGGAGCCTAAAATGGAGCTATCGTACCATATAAAGCCATTGAAATTGGGGGGTACATCCCATGAAATTTAGCCCATAGACCTGAAAAAGATTGTAGGTACCTCCAATCTACCCTCTGGTAAACTAACATAGCTGTTTAACATGGCCATAGAAATAGTTGATTTACCCATTAAAAATGGTGATATTCCATAGTTATGTAAACGTCTACCAGAGGGTAGGTTGCCTGTCAGGAACATCCCTGTCTTCGTTGAACTCAGCTACTCATCTTCAAGGCATTGAGGGAGGTCCCAGTGATACAAGGTGACGATAGGAGTGATCCTTGGCGGAAACAACGGCGGGCACCTGAAAATGGTGATACCCCAAAACCATAGGGGTTTCAATACTCAAATGGTCTAATTTGGGGGCACCCCTCTTTCAGGAAACACCCGTATATATCTATTTATATATATATATATATTACATGTATGTCGGGGTAAGTTCAACACATGCGTCTAGGCATATGTCTCTCCGAGATCTATGTGGGTGTGTGTATGTGTGTATATATTATATATATATATGTACAAATGCGTGTGTGTGTGCGTGTGTGTGCGTGTGTGTGCGTGTATGCGTGTATGCGTGTATGCGTGTGTGTGTGTGTGTGCGCGTTGCGCGTGTTTTCGCCGAATGCTTCATTCATACTGTATGCAGCATGAGCTTTGCCTCAGGTTGTCCAAAACATAAGCCTGGTGTTTCTACCTGTGTTTTCTTCAGCCTTCTTCTTCTGGAACAAGTGTATCAAAACTTTTTGTAATAGGGATGCTGAACAATGGAAACGCAAAGTTTCAAGTTTCAGCCTCGCAAACAGACTGGCTTGATTTTTCCATGCGAGCAGTGCGCAAAAACTTTTGTCATCCCCTTCTACAACTTACAAGCTGCAAGTAAGCCTGTAGAACTATTCACCACAAGGGGTGTTGGACACCGTGCAGGCATTCCTGACTGACAGTTCTCTCTTTCTGCAAGTCAAGAGGCCCCTTGTCATGCAACCTGACGTGGTTCCTCCCTCTGTGACCGGTGGTTGGGCTACCCATCTGAAGAATATATCGAGTAGTCACTTGAGCGGCAAGAATCCGAAATCGGGATTGAAACCCGAGAAGCATTTGAAACTGCCTAAACCACTTATGTTGATGCAATAAAATCACCCCCCCAAAAAAAAGTCATATTTACAACCATTGTATCCATGCATGTGTGAATGGAAATGCCCATAACTCCATGTGACATGAGCATACAAACAAGCTCAATCCACAGTTGTTATGCTTCTCATTTCCCACGCAGAGCGAGAAAACAGCTGGATGACTCCGAAAGTCACATCAAAGGATACTCCAACTAAACTAGCTTGTCCCTCCTTAATGCAGACCATCAATTGGTGACTTTTGAGCCTCACACGTTTTTGAACAGCGCCACTTCTGATAGGCTCAGAGATTGCCAAGAAACTCAACCAGCAAAGAGTTGTAAAAGTCATAGGCTTTCCTTGGATTTGCACTAAGTCACTAAGGGCAGGAGCCACAAATGAAAATCAAACACAGCCCCAGTAGACACGGTATGTCTAGTAGTGGATTGGCTACCTGTTAATTTGATATGGAAATGTGTAATAGGAAAGTCATGCGACTCACAAGAGTTGTGAATCACTGAAGAAACCAAGAGTCTGGCTTGATAAAACAAATAATTGCTTATACCCTCTGGTAATTTAACATAGCTATGGAAAATCACCATGATTAATGGGAAAATCCCCTATAAATGGTCATTTTCAATAGCTATGTTAAATTACCAGAGGGTAAATTATAAAGGACAAATTCCATTTTGGATGGTGAAACGGTGAAACCCTCACTGAATTTATGGGTTGACCTACCTCAAATTCTGCTTATCCACTAGAATTTCACCAACTCCAGTCTCAGATTGTGGGTACAATCTGCTTAATATCCTTATAGTTGAGGGTACACCCCATGGTTTCGAGTTTCAACCGTCAAACAAACGATAAAACACATTAAAACACCCAAAAATCAATCCCTTGACTTACCAAATAGATGCCCCTTGTTGGTTAAATCCACCATTTCTTGATGCTTCCGTCAGCCTTTTCGTCACAAAAACAGGCATCGGATTCATCTTGCCTCGTCCCTGAGGCAGAAGCCTCGTATGACATGGCCATCAAGTGAAGATGCCCGGCAGATGGCAGTGGCTTATTCATGGTCATTCATGCTCCATATATGGAATATTTACCTACATTTACCCAACAAATGGCCCAAATGTAGGTAAATATACTATACATGGAGCATATGGGATGGTCATTCATGGTCATTCATGGCTATTCATGATTCTTGATTTGCATGTGATTGCGATTCCGAAGCGTTATGTCATGTTTTTTTTTGATGGCAATTCCATGATGATTGTAGTATCAGGGTGGTTCCAAGGTTGTCTACAAAAAAGTCAGTTGACCGGGCACACGGTGACCCATGGAGTAGCTCAGCCCTCCCCGGATCTGTTTTCGTCAGATTTTGTCAGTGCATCAAACCACATAGAAACGAGAAAAAATAGAAAACGGATGAGGATACCCTCCAAACCTTTATACATATTAAACTTTATAAAGCATGATTACAATATAACAAAACATGGAATGATCATAAGATGACACAGCATGATGGTAACATGATTACAAGATGGTAAACCGCGGTAAACCTACAATGTGGGCCTTCCTCCCCCCCCAAAAAAAAACTAAGTTGGTTTAAAACTAACCAGGGCTTTCTGGTCGATATGTGTCGATATAACTGTAGTTACTAATCTGTAGTTACTACTACACTTGGGGGCCCCAGCTCCACCTTGGTGGCCCGTTTTAGGTGCCTGGACCAGGAGATGGAAAAGCAGTAGGCACGCAGGCCACAGTCTTTCATCAGCCTCACGTCCTCGGCAAATCCTCGGATCAAACGGCTGCTTTCATGGTCATCATGTGAAATTTGTTACCCACTGGGAAACGTTAACAAAAAGCTATTGAACATGGCCATAGAAATAGTGGATTTACCCATTGAAAATGGTGGATCTTTCCATGGTTATGTGAACGTTTACCAGAGGGTAAGTGGATATAAGTGGATCATGTTTGGTGATGTTTGGTGATGTCCGTTCCAGTCGTCGGGACAGACGGCTACGGCTGCCAAGGTGCTGTGGTAATGATCACAGGCGTAGCTTCCTGTGTCTCCGTTCTGGATCTTGCCCGGCATGCTGCAGAAAGTATCCCAAATGCTCGGACTTCGTCCCTCCTTGTTCGCCTGACATGCACGGATGCAAATATGCATACATCATATAATAAATATGTCCATAGAATATATATATATATAGTATACACAAATCATATCCATATTATATCTTATATATCCTTAAATATTTTTTTAATATTCTTATATTATATATATATATGATATAACACACACATGTATATATATATATACATATGTGTGTGTGTTAGAGTCTTGTTGTGTATTCCTCATGGGCTTCTCCAAGTGACAGCCCCTTCGATTTGGTAGGCCGCTGTGGCGGCTCCCCAAAGAAAGGTCTCCGGAAAGGGCAGCGCTTTGTCGTCCTTCACCTGGGACCATGGGACCGTTGGACCATGGGGAGTACGACATCACCAGGGTGCCAAGCCCCAGTTCGGAATCGCTAAGTTGGTGCCAAGAAGTCCAATTTCACTATGGTTTATAGGTGATAGATCTATAGTTTATATATGTTTTTATGGGATTATAAGCCATTTATAACTGGGTAATACGACAGTACTATAACAAGAATGTAACCGTTGCAGATTTATATATGGTTATAGTTGCTAATAGGAATAGTAATACCCACTGTTATGGTAACTATGAATAACTATGAATAAGTTACTTATATCCCTGTAATACGATAGTTATACTCCTCTATGGGTGCAGTAATATAATAATACTGTGGTATAAGTATACTGTTACTCATCTATATCCTCAGGAGAACGACCTTGTTATGTTATTACTGTTATATATGATGTTTACCTAAATTACTGTAATGACATATGACATATGCTTTGTTATGTTACCGTTTTGTTTGATAATATCACTGTTACAGTAATACAACAAAATTATTGGTACACTTACCATAATAATGACCATGCTGGCAAGACTTGGGGTTCCTGATATCTACGTGAATTGAATACAACATGATACAACATGATATACCCTCCAGCAAACATCAGTAAAACCATGGTGTCCCGTTCGGAAGAGGATCTACAAATTAGAGGCTTGCCATATTTATGTTGCTTTTCAGCAGGGTACAAGGTGGGGCGCCCTAGCTATAAGTTGGTTTGTAGCTCCATCCGATTATAGATATATCATGATATATCCACCTTGAACCCTACTTAGGCCTACTTATTGTAGTCAAAAATCAACTTAAACATCATAAATCAGCTATAAATCCCATAAAAACATCATTGTTCTTGGTCAAATCACCATTTTCCAATGGTTTTGAGCGGCCCCACATTGTAACTACAGCAACTGCAGGGAGCCAAGATGCATTCAGCAGAGTTACCTGAAGCTGCCATGAGCGATGGCACTTAGATGGGTGTTAGCAAATGGATACAGTAATTGGGATTTATCAGCAGGTTGGTTTAAGAGAAAATCTACAGGAAACCCGATATTTCATAGGAAAATCCATGGTTTAGTGGTTTATAACCCAACCAGATCTAACCAGTTAGCCAATCCCATGACCCAAAGTTGTAGCAGTAAGAGCAACAGCAATGATGAAAGTAATAAGAACAACAACAATCACGACTACGTTTTCTTGAAATATCAAGATGGTCATGCGGCCAGCATATATGAATGAATTTACATCGATATATAACCATATGAATCTGGTCAAAACATGGTGCATTGTTTATGGTCATCCATCCCATAATGGGAACCATTAAAATGGGTATGTACATACCTGACATACCTATTGATGGATTGATGACCATCCCCCAATGTATATAGGTATATAATCCAACTACACTGAAAAGCCAACATAACCAAAGGTGCATGACTGTGCACAAGCTCTTTGTCGAAGAGTGTCGTCAATACTCCTAGGCTCGGAAGGGGAAAAAGACCCTAAAAGCCATTCAGCTATGGAATAATCTCCATTTCTGAGAGGTAAATCATCGAAGTAAATCTATCAATGGACCATGCTCCATAGTCAGCACACATTTCGAGTTGTTTCTTGCTGATGATCTGGCATGCTTGATGAGAGTTGCCTCTCGGCAAAGGTTCGGATGTGAGTGAAAAGCTGCAACGTTTCAGAACTAGGGATAAAACATTATAATAAAATAATTAAACTTTGTGAAGCCAAAGCATGTTTCATGAAACAGCCGACTTAAGCAGCGACCATTTTCTGATGTTGGGACAATGTCTAGCGAGTCTAGCTCATCTGTCTGACGAAAAAGGTGCTCCGCCACCCAGAAACCATCATGCAAGCAAAGCACCGTTGTTGCGAAACCTGGTTCCGCCGACAAATCTGACCAGGTGCTGTTGCAAATGTAGTCAGCTTAAAGTCTAACAATGTCCCAAAAAGAAAAAAGGCAAGGATCAATAGGTTATATCATACATATTTATATCTACATAGTTGACATAGTGGGCCATGGTCCATTGCCATGTTTGCAGTGGCTCCAAGAGTCATAGGGCCCAAAATGTTCGGTGAGAGCTTTGGCCCAAGGCCTCACGGAACTCCGGGACTTGTCCAGGGTAGCCATGATTAGCCAATAGTTAGTTTCTAAACAAAAACTTTATACCATATATACCATATATATATATATTATATCATAACTACCCCATTAATATACCATATATACCATACATATACCATATATACCATACATATACCATATTGTATACTGTATACTGTATATATATATATATAATACCCCATTAATACCCCAATATTCCATGAATATTCCATGAAATTCCCACCTTTGGTGGTTTCTGCAAGATCCATTTCCCATGGCCGAAAGCTATCAACGGCTTTTCGTCAAGCAACAGGACCTTGGTTGCCGCTGTGACCTCCAAAGAGTGCGGTGGTTTCTGCAAGATCCGCTTCAGTGAGGCGACCTTGGAAGATCAGCTTGGGTAACATGAACATGTGTAAAATGATGGAAAAATCATGGAACACTGATCTAGAAATGGTGGTTTTTCAACATCGAACTGTTCCTTTAGAGGAGGGGTGTGCATATATAATTACCCTCTGGTAAACTAACATAACCATGGAAAGATCCACCATTTTCAATTGGTAAATCCGCTATTAATAGCCATTTTCCATGGCTATGTTAGTTTACCAGAGGGTACTTTTGATTGTGTTATACATACATAAGGATATAGATGGGTAGACGCGAGCCAACGTTTCAGCGACCCAACGATGGCCCAGAGTCCACCAACATGTGACCAAAATGGGCTGACGTGGCTGACAGCGAAATCACAATGAAAACATACGTCAACTCAAATGAGACGTTATCCCCTCGGGGGGGAAACACGGACATCTTGCAAAAGATCACAATATATCACAATCTTTTGATCTTCCCGGAGCATGTCTGAAAGTTGCAGTTTTAAAGCACACCTGCAGACTTTCAATGTAAAACAGAGTTAAAACATGTAGAGGATGCGGTGCTAAAACGTCTGTAACACTTCGAATTCCACGCGTATTCAGAGGGTGATTCTCCGGTTTTTTTTTCCGAAGTATCTCCCTACAGTTCCATATACGTGCGTGTATGTATGTAGATAAGCATGTATACATTATATATATATCAATGAATATATACTATATATTATGCATATATCATATATGCATGTATATTGTATATATATATATGTCTATATGTTCTATGATATTCAATGCAAATTACAATATTGTTATGATCGTCTATGACTATAATCTATTAATCATATCTATACATTAACAGATATAATATATACTCACTGTGTATATATATATACACCGAAACATCTGTGTGTCAAGCGGCCGTGGTCTTCTCCGGAACATCTAACTCGATGAGCCAACTTTCCTGCCATAGCCCCCACCGGGGCCACCACTGCTGGGTGTCGCAAGCCCTAAAATAAGGATATAGAAAAGTAAAATCCGACTGAAACACTGATGGTTTTACTATCTTTTTGCGGATTACTATGTGTATATATATATAAATATATATATATATATTATATATACATATATGTATATACATATATCTATACATATATATATATTATATATATCTATACATAGTGAATTGGGTTCATAGTAAGCAGGTTCAGGGGGGAATAAAAAACATCTCCAACCACCAGCCAAACCTTTGTGAGGCAAGGTTGCTGCCCGTTGGGGGCATGCAGCGACAAACTGATCCAAGTAATAATCTCTTCACTTGGCGTAGTTGGGTTATCACAGTTTAGCAGCATCTTTTCCTGAAAAAAATCTCGAACATTGTCTGAAGTGTCATAATCATAGATTATTATAGGCAGCTATTTTGGGGATTTTTAGGCTACCTATAGGCTATTATAGGCTAGCTATGGGTATAATGTGGGTAAAACAATAATAAACCATCCCCCAGTCATCACAATAAATAGGATCATCCTATGAGACCCCACGGACTGGGATCAACTATGGTATCAACGGACTGGGATATCCTAAAAAAACTACGGTTAACTATGGTATCCTATAATTCATTAAGAATACTCTCCGCCCATTTCACATAGCTATTGAAAATGGCACATTTAGTTCGTTGATTTCCTCATTAAAGATGGTGATTTTCCAGTTCGCTATGTTAGTTTACCAGAGAGTATATCCCATTCGCATACCCTCTGGTAAACGTTTGACATAACTATATGACAAATCACAATTTCTAATGGGTAAATCAACTATTTCGACTGGGCCATTTTCAATAGCTTTTTGTATGTTTACCAGGCCGGGTAACTATTAACCATAAACCATAGATTATCCATATTTTCCATAGATTATCCATATATTAACCATAGATTATCCATAGATTATCCATATATTAACCATGATTATATAACCAGAGGGTAAATCCCATTAAAACCACCAAAACTGCAGCTCTGGGCTCGCAATTCTCAGCTGTGGAGCCCACGGTGACGCGCATGGCAGCCAGCCAACAAAAGGCGTGGCCATGCTACTAGCGAGGGGTCGAAGATATACATAATATATATGTATATGGATATATATATATATATATATACCCTCTGGTAATTTAACATAGCTATGGAAAATCACAATTTTTAATGGGAAAATCCACTATAAATGGCCATTTTCAATGTTAAATTACCAGAGGGTATATATATATATTATGGGATATACTGCACATGCCACAATGGGGTGTACCCCCATAGCATCGGAGGTCGCTTGAAGGCTGCTGTTCGAACTGAAGGGGTGGCGTTCTCCGGTTGAATACGAACCATTTGACAAGTGATGATAACTGTCATACGTATGTATATGTATATATATATATATAGAGAGAGAGAGAGGGAGAGGTGTATAATATATATATATATATACATGTGCATGATATTGTTCTTGGATTGTATCCGGCCATCATACGAGCGTGCGATGCGAATCGATGCGATGTGATGTACTGGAAATGGGTGCAACGCACCCTGCGTTGGAAGAAAAACAAACGCCTGCAACGAATGAGAAAACGCACCAGAAACCCAAGCCCTGAAAGCTTCGCAACTAGCAATGGGGCTTTCGCCTGCTGCCAACCATTTTTCCAGTCAGCTCCTACCCTTGGTATTGGCAACCATTCAAAAACTCATAAGTCACAATTATGCCAAGCTCATTTCTACTTGCTAACCCCAAGGTACAGGTATACTTATAACCATTTATGCGCCCATTTCTACTAGGGAACGATGATTTCTCATCACAAAACCTTCATTTTTTTCTTGGGGATTTCCCAGCTGGTCATGATTCCATGCTTCATTGAAATCCGTGGTTCATCTTCCATCATATTCCGAGTATTCCAGTCATATCCCATTCCCATTTCCATCATCCCCATCATCTACCCTCTGGTAAATTAACATAACTATGGAAAGATCCACCATTTTTCATGGGAAAATCCACTATTTCTATGGCCATTTTCCATAGCTATTTTGACATCACCAGAGGGTCCATCATCCCCCACGGCACATCGCGTCGGAGATCCGGGTCACCGCGCCCATTCCGTGCGTGAAGCGGGTGAGCTTCACCGACTCCGGGTCCACCTGGCGACGGAAACATGGCCAGCATGGGGAAAATCACCGGTATATTGGAGTTGAGATAAGGCCACTTATATATATATATACATATATATATATACATGTATGTACATATATATATAGTGATATGGTTAATGATTCTGAATAATGGTTAACATTATCAATGTCTTTACAACTTATAACCAACATTAACCAATAAACATTGAAGTTGAACAAGTTCTATGAATCACTGGCTTGATTACTGTAAGGACAATCTTAAGTGAAACATCGTGAAACCATGTTTTCTAAATTTCCCATGAATCCAGGGGTTGTCCTGCAATCTTTCCCACCAGTAGGGCCTGGTGCGAACTGGATGGGCTTCATGTTGTCACCATCAAAAACCATCATTCAACCAGCAAAGATATGGAACAAGATGAACAAGCCGTCAAAATGGTGGGTTTTGAAATTCAGAGCATCCAACTGTTCAAACTGGAAATTACCAACCAATGATTCCCTGACATAAGTCGGCATAAGGCAAATTTGAAAAAATCAGCCATGTGCTATCTATACATCATATGATCTAATATTTGGCCCAAGAATGGGATATACCCTCTGGTAAACTAACATAGCGAACTGGAAAATCTCAATCTTTAATGAGGAAATCAACGAACTAAATGGGCCATGTTCAATAGCTATGTTAAATTTCCAGAGGGTAAGCAATCAAAACAAAGGTCATCCAAATTGGGGTGTCTCCCCACCCTCTCGCAATGGTGGCCTCCTCTGCTGCCTCATCAGCCTGCAGCTGGAACTTCAGAAATCTTCACGGGGCATGTTACATGTTTTACAAAGTGGGAAATGGAAACAACATGATCCAGCTGAAAGAAAAAAACACATGGTTGTAGAATTTAGACGAAAGGAAACCAACCAACAAATCCCAAAGGGCATTTAATCAAATGCTGGATAAGTGCGATCAGACGCGGATATCACTATTGAATGCTGTTGTTTTCCACTGTTGAATGCTGTTTTTTATTAATATGATGGATGTCTCCAAAAACATTGCAATCCCAATGCCATAGCATCCCAGCAAGCAACGATGACTATAATGACTGGTGCTCATACTAAACATCATCCCAGCATTCCATGGTAGTAGCAGATTTCAATGAATTTCATAAACCACAATTGTGGATGGCTTATGGCATTGGGTTTACCTCACTAATCTTATGAAGCCCCGTGCCTGCGCGTCCGGCATGAGCCTGCGCATCTGCCAGGGATTATCAAACTGCCAGATGCCCTCCGGTGAACCAACGTAGATATGGAAGCATAGGCCCATGGATTTCCGTAGCTGCCATAGCTGCCCCTTGGTCTCCTTGAGGGTACCTTGAAAAGATGATGAAAGAACAGTTGAACGCAGGGGAAGTTATAATGCCATACTCATCAGAAATGCAAAGAAACGCCACATCGATTTCTGCGTTCTGCTGCCCAGTCAACTTCTTCAAGAAAACACACGATCATTCCTGAATTCACCCGGGTGAACCCTTGGCTTTTTCACATCAAAATGACTGGTGGCCTCTGGGTGTTCACCAATGAACATCCGCCCATCCTGGCATCCCAAACATGATCTTCTTAGTGATCTTTAGAATTTTGCTTGGTTCATACCCCCAAAAGCTAAATATAGCTAAATAATGCTAAATAAATAGACCTATGTTGAATTTCAAAAAACCAACCCATGCTTGCAGGTCCAACGTCAATTTTGGCCCAGCCTCAGCACTGTTTTAGCCAAGACCTTCGCCGCATGGTCTACCTGGCGCCATTTTGTTTTGGTAAGAATTCGAACCCAACAATACAAGGGTCATAACCATATATATATATGTGCATGTATTTAAAAATCCTGGTACCTAAATTTTCAGGTTCCGTGTTGCCCCACTCTGTTTCGCCATGATATTGTTTTTAAATTAATTTGAAATCTTGTCCATGTTCATGTTCAAGAAGCTGAAACTTTTTCTTCGTATCGCGACCTAAGCCGGAAAAAATCAGCTGGATTCGGCTGGGGAAATCGCACAGAATGATTTGGGCACAGATCCACATTAGCTTCAAAATAGAAAGGAAATGCGAAAAATGACGGGTGGCCCCTACAATGTGGGGCCCCTTAGATGGCTAAGTTGGTTTACAACTACAATAACATACACTAACCATCAATTTATGATAAACATATCTATATAGTATTCTATATTATATGGTAAGATATATCTATAATATATTTCTATTTACCATAAATATATCTATTATTCTATATATATATATATATAAATCAATTTATGGTAAATATATCTATAGATAAATATATGGTTATCTATATCTATATAGTTATACATTCTACATTATATACTATCTATATGGTTATATATACTATTCTATATCTATATATCAATTGATGGTTAGATCGAATAATAGACCAACTTCATAACATCTTGTAGGCCTGGCATGGCCTGACCCGTGACCTTTCTGCAGATGCCTCCTGCGTCGTACTTTCTCGTCCGAGTGTGAAGCGACATGTTCCCATGGCCCAATCCTGCAGCTGGTGATCAGGTGATGAAGCCTGGAGTTTTGGCACCCCAAAAATGAACTCACCAAATACATCCAAATACTATCGAGCATTCTTCCAGCTGATTGGGTTTTTTCCCCTTTTGTTTCTTTTGAAAAGGATGTTGATACGCTTCGGCAAGGGACTCCACAGGAAAAATGACCCAATGAACATCTGTCAGCGCGCGAACGGAGATCTTCCACAGGATTTGCTCCCAGTGGATTCCCCTATGTCTGGTGGATTTACCCATGGTCTTCAGCAAATTCAGCTCTTCCCATTGACAATTTATAGATGATGGCCCACGTATATATAATGTGTATATATAATTATATATATGTATATACACATACATATATACATACACACACATATATATATATATACACATATGTATATATATATATATATATTTTTATAGTGGATTTTTTCATATGTTCCCATATGTTCCCATATATGTCCCATTCAAACCTCCATATTTTCCTTTTTCAGATTTCCCCTCCGCCACGGTTCACCACTTCTCGGCACCTTGCTGACTCCCATGGCCTGCGGTTGATATCTGTTGATATTGGATAAACAATCTGGGTAACCCTCTGGTAATTTAACATAGCTATTGAAAATGGCCATTAATAGTGGATTTTCCCACTAAAAATGGTGATTTTCAATAGTTATGTTAAATTACCAGAGGGTATTGGATGTTGGATATGGGTAAATTATAATATTTCACCAACCTGAATTAAGGCCATTTGGGGATGATTCCGCTTACTAACCATGATTTCCAGTGAGGTCGCAGTGAGGTCGCAGTGAGGTCGTTATAATTTACCCAGAAAAATATGAGCATTGAAATATTGGATGTTGATTTGGATAATTAGACATTTAACTGTTGATATTGGATGTTATATGATGTTATGTAATTTTTTGGATTAAATTTGTCATCATCCATCAATTTAATCAGTAGATTGGATGAAATTGCTATTTTTCAAAGCTATCTTAGTTTACCAAATGGATTTATACTTGATTCTTGACTGTTGTATATATACTATAGAAATATAACTCGTCTGATCCGTACAGCTCCCGGAACCAGCTCTGATCGGCCAGGAGATTGGAGGATTTGGAGGTGGTTTTTGCGATCAGTCGGAGCAATTCTATGGAACACTCAGCGGAGGAAATAACAAGAATAACATTACCATACATTACCTATATTACTTAATAATGAGTAATTAATATGATATTATATAACCATCAATAGTGGGATAAACTTATTGAGTCTATGAAATTCCATCGCTAGATGCATGATAGATGCATCCTATCATTGACAGGCCTTGGGTATGACAAAGCTCAACTGTTGAGCAGGCTGCGAGTCCTAATCTCATCCCCTCGCATTCAAAGACTTCTGAAAACTCCGTTAAGTCTTCAATCACTGCCCTTAGTGGTGGGAATTATCTCATATAATGGATATTACATACCGTACACACACACATATATATATATAACTGGTTGGTGGTTTCAACCCTCTGAAAGTATTAGTCAGTTGGGATCATTATTCCCAATATATGGAAAAATAATCCGAATGTTCCAAACCACCAACCAGATAATGATGGTTTATTTTGTTGTCAGTAATGATTGATACTGGTGATTGATGCCTCTTAATGGAGTATAAACAACAATTAATAAAACATAATAAAACTAAGTATGATGGATTTCCCATCAGATGATCCACCTATCCTCACCGGCCTCGAGCACATGTGACATGTGCACTTCATCACCTCGCGAAAGGATGAGACTTGCTGCAACACACCCCAGAAACATCTGCCTATGCCTAGATTCATCATCATCATCATCACCATCATCATCATCATCAGATATCAGAGATATCATGTCTACATAAACCTCATAGTTTGGATTGACAGTTGGATGCTTCGGGCGATATTATCTTCACGAGTTATCTGAAGACAGGGTGATCCGTGTATCGACCCCCCCCTTCAGGTGACGCCTCAAAAGAAACAGGGTGATAATGGGAATATATCGGAATCCATAATCAGTGAATCTTCATGAAATAGATCATGAACTAGATGAACAAACATCAATGATCTGCATTTATGGATCAATAACTGCGTCAATAATGGATTTAAAAAAAAAAAAAAAAACTTTTGATGCCAACAAGCCCAGGTGCTGTGGCAAGCCGCCCCTGCGGAAGCTGCGACCTCATCGGCTACCTGCGCCACCCATTTTTTGTGGGAATCCCATCACAATCACCTACTGAGTAGGTTTTTTATTACCCGCAAACCATGGGAATTTCGTATGGTTTTTGCCACTTCAAATGCGAATTTGAAGAACAGATCTGGGCCTGGGGTTTTGTTTGGAGCCGAAGATCGGGGTTTAATATAAGGATTTTAATGGTGGTTTTCATAGGATTAGAGTATATGATGTGCAGTCCAGAATGAGAATGGTGTAGGAAGTGCGACAACGTGGGGGAAGGTGGTTGAATTCCCATGAGCTAGCCTGTGGTATTCCTGAGGGACGCTGAACAAGTTCATCACATTACAAAGTTCACTATAAATAGCTGGGCATACCATAAAACAGTACATCAATCATTGTACCATCCCTTAAATCATCCAAAGATGGAAAATCACCCGCCTTCGATACCCTTCAATCATATCAATGTTGAGTAGGATATTATACTTTAATGTTTAGAAGCCATTGAAATATACCTTCCATTCATATGGGTTTGTCTGAAAATAGGGTATATTCCCAATTATAGCCATTTAATAGGGATAATGATCATGAACCATTGGGTTTAGGGGTACACTATTTTCAGACACACCCATATCAATGATCAATGATCATTCCCCATCAAAACCAATAAGAAACCAACCACCACCAGTGGCCACTGGCGCCTCCGAGAGCAAGGTGTTCGCCTCAACCTGCGGGGAATGATCCCAACTGAAGCTCTGTAAGTCTGTAAATGTTTGATTTACCCTCTGGTTATGACTAACATAGCTATTGAAAATGGCCATTTGTAGTGGATTTTCCCATTAAAAATAGTGATTTTCCATAGCTATGTTAGTTTACCAGAGGGTAACCATTAGGGTCGAAGAGTCTACATCTAAAATGTGCCATTCCAACGCCTTAGATTTGTTCGAATCGTCTGGGGTATCCACATGTTCTGCATGGTTAATCATGACCAAAGTCGGTCCTTTTATTGAACCAAACGAAAGATGTGCTGGGATGATTCGATATTGAAAATGTAAGCATAATTGCAACAACAAATTAGCAACTGTAGCTGCGTCTGTTGCCAGTGATGTTTGCAAACCTTGCGGCCAAACCTTTCCGAAACTCCTTTGGCCGTACCTTTTTATGGTCCTTTTGGAGCGGGGTCTGGCGAAGGTATTATCATCCCAGTCTCATTTCACATGTGGCCATGATCGCCAGAATTTCCAGTTTGACCGTCAAAGTACTTTGACCTGGTTCTTACACGTTTTACCTGATCCATCTCTGAGACTGCTAATATCAACCAATCTTTGTGCGAACATCCGCATCCGCCTTATAGAAGGAGGCAGACAAGGTGTTCGGAAGCCGTGCCTTCGGCGCCAACCATGGGACGGTTGCCATCCAAATGGGCTGGTTCCGACATCCCAAAACTGGTTGTGGGACGTTGAAGGGAAAGCCCTGGATCCTCTAGTGGCCAAGCTGGGGAGGATGCCGCCAGTGCGGTCTATGGCTAGTGTGCACCAAGCAAAGTTGAGCTTGGTTTCATCACAGCGGAAATCTTGGATACCCTGAAACATATATATATAAATATATATATATACATGTGTGTGTGTACCCTCGAAGTCAGAAGTCCTAATTATCCGTGAAATGAGTTTACCAAAGACCTAAAGACGTCACAAAAGACCCAAATAAGGACCCAGGGTATAATAGCCAATAATAGCTATAAATTTATACGTTTTTGAATTCTTGTGCATCAAGAGTATCCAGATTGAAACCCAAATTGTTTCCCATTTTTTTGGGGGGATCCAAAATTTTGCTGTAGCGAAAAAATGAAATCAGTTGAAAATTCTGGTACCCTGTCGACGCTCTAGATAGGCGGTTCCACGGTTTGTCCACGGTCAGGTCTGAAATTGTGCATAAATTGTGCATCAAAATATATTGTTATGCTCGATTGTTTCTCTTCAAGAATTTGTGAACATATTGAATAAAATGATATGTCTCTTGGCCATGCACATCTTGGACCCTTGCTGCAGCAGCCTTCCCTGGGCAGGTCTATGATGCACAGGGTGTGTATATACATATATACACATGTATATTATATAGACGTGTGTGTACAAGTGCGTGCTACAAAGTTTCTCATGAGTTTATGTAATATAGATATGTGTAATATATAGATATATATATATATATATGTGCATATATTACATATATTATATTAAGTATATATATATACTCTATTATATTATATTATATATATTATATATATAGTTATCTAGTATAATCTATATCTATATTCCATGTACATATATAATATAATACAATAACGTATGTGTATATATATATATGTATATTATATATGTACATTATATATATATACATTATATATATATATATACGTATGTATAGGCAGTATACATGAACATGTTTATATCTATATACCTATTGATGGCTCAAAATTACATGGCCATCCCTCTCCGGCCTCTGCTGGGCCATTCTGTCGCATGAGGTGTGCCTGGATATATCCATTGGGCAGTCAAAAAACCAGATATATCCATGGATAATGGGTATAATGCTGGTGAAGATCCATGGCTATACTAGGCTATAATACTATGATGCTGGTGAAGTTCATTTCCCACGCATTTTCCTAGATCAAAATGGAAAATCTCCAACTTCTACTGGCAAAATCATCTATGAATGAAGATATTTGAGCGGGTGATTTGATTTTACTGTCAGGTATGTTGCTGGCGAAATTCGTCCACTTCCCAAATCAATCAACGTCAGAATTACTGTGAGCCAACATGAGCCAGCTTCAATATCTCTTAACATCTTTTAGTCCAGTTTCTCTACAATTTGCATCAATTTCGTCATCATCGGAATGCAACCCACGGTTTTTTGTGGCTAAAAACCCGAGCTTCCGGACGCTAGATCCCAGACCTGCGGGGTAGGTCGTTAGAAATTGTTAGAAGATTTCAGTGAGATATACCATCTTAGACCATCTTTTGAGATACAAATCATCATATATAGTTATAATTTATAAAAACATTTTTTTGGCGGGACGGACCACTCTCTCTCTCTCTCTCTCTCTTTTCAAAACAAAAACAAAAGTGGGGGGATGAACAACGTTAAACATCCTGCCTATACCCAGAATTCTGGATGTGAAGGGGAACCAGGGTTTTGATTCGCAACCATAAGTTAGATACAGACCATCTTTATAAATGATGAAGGATATATACCCTCTGGTAAACTAACATAACTATGGAAAATCACCATTTTTAATGGGAAAATCCACTATAAATGGCCATTTTCAATAGCTATGTTAAATTACCAGAGGGTATATATTTTGACTTTGACTACTACTCCCTAGTCGGCGCAAAAATATCCACTGTCAGAAACTGAGACTCCAGGAGCTGCAGAACTCATTGCGCTGGCCATGTTTGATGATCTTTGCGCTGGCTCTCCAAAGGCTTGGTATGGCTTGGTGGGCAAGTTGCTATCTGATCAGATCTGGAATGATAATCTCCTCAGCTCCTCTGAATTAAAGCCATTTCGGGGTGTTTCCCATGTAAAATCCATCTTTGATGATGACATTTGGTGGCAACGGCATTACGCTTTGCCCAGATTTCCCTCTTCAGATGGGCCTTCAATAAGTTTCTGGTGTAACCTGCCGAAGTTGCAAGGGATGGAGCTGTTACAATTGCATGGGTTACCCTCCGGTCATCAAACATGGCTAGCTGGGGAATCCCTATAAATGTGCATTTTAATGGGAGAATCATCTATTCTACAATAAAGAGGGGGTTCTTGCTATGTCTGATTACCAAAACGTAAAGATGGTTAAAGGGAAACTTCACAGAAAAACAGGAAGTTCTACCATTGCCATTTGCATCTGTCGGAGATCTAGTTGGATTACTGAGCTCTGGCCACCTCAATTTACGTGACGACTGTGCCTGTTCCATAGGGCCAGAGAACGTTGGAAAACGAGTCAGTTTCTTGTGGGGGATGAACGCTTTTCAGGGCCTAAATTAGTTTAGGGGATGGTGGCGCCTCATCTATTCAATGGCCATTTCATGTACCTAGACTGAAGGTAGACCATAGAAGGCCATATTTTCGGGGTATATCCCCTTACATAGTCCCTTCTTCCATTTGGAACGCCACAAAAGGAAACTACGAGCCTATCCCGCATCTCCTGCATGTGTTTCTGATTCCTGAGCTGCGTCAGGGGTGGATTGGTCAAACGAAGCATCTGACACTACGGGGGCATGAGGAAATACAGACATTGATAACAATAAACAAATAAATAAATAAGTAAGTAAATGAATATAACTAAATAAATAAGTACATGTATATGTAAATATATATGTACAAAAATAAACAAATATATATTATACTGCATATACAATCATATATATATATATATTATGTATATATATATATGTATTACACCGTATAATATATATATATATATTATCATAAGTGTGTTTAATAATGTATAGATCTTAAGAACTCAATAAACAATCCCATTCCGGTCGCAACGTCTGGGCATCCCAACTTTGGGAGATCCCGGGCAGCGATTTCACAAGCTTTGCCCAGTCCAACCTCTGGTGAAGCGATTCCAATGGCTATACCATTACCATCTGGTTATGACTAACATAGCCATGGTATAGATGGCCCATGAAAATAGATGGTTTACCGAACTTAAACATGGTGATTTTAACCATGGCGAACTGTTAGTCATAGCCAGATGGTATTAACCATAGATTGACTATAGATTAACCATAGACTAACCATAGTGATAGTGTGAAAGTAATAATAATAACTATATTGGGATAGTTATAATATCTGGTTGGCGGTATACCTACCCCTCTGAAAAATATGAAAGTCAGTTGGGAGTATGAAATTCCCAACTGAATGGAAAAATAGAAGCCATGTTCCAAACCACCAATCAGATATAGAAAGGTCTGTGGACAATATGAGGCAGTGCTATGAGTAATGTGGGTAAAACAATGCCATAAACCATCCCCCAAATCATCACCATTTTTATAGGTGGCATAAGCCATTCCCAGTTATGGGTGGTTTATGACATTGTTTTACCCACATTACATAGTGTGAAAATCCCCCCAAAAAACAATCGCCAATGAAGCGCCTCGAACATCGTAGCTTTCAGCTGACAAACTCAATACGTGGAAGACTATACAGCCCTCCGTCTTCGATTGGCGTGTAACTTGCCAAGTGAGGATGCCTTCAACCCATCAGTCATTGGGACTCATCATCTCACATTAGATTATATTATAATTATATAATAAGAAATCATGGAAACAATCAAAAATGCATCCAAGTAACTGACAATGGCAATGTGTCCAAATCCCAGGGTGGCCCATTTCTGCAGCGCTAATCTGCTAATTCCATGGGCTTTGCCAATTTGGCTAACCAGGAATTACCCAATCTGATGCAGCAAAGCAGCAATGTGTATCACATTCTCCGTACCTTGGGCCAGACTCTCCGTCCGGTCAAAGCCAGCCCAGATCCGTTTTTTTTGCCTTGGTTGTATAGCCGCTATATAGCAACCTCCCAAAAAGATAGAAAAGTAAAACCCTACCAAAAATAGTGACGAATTACTTTTCCTATCTTTTCCGGGGGTTATTACATGTAGCAGTTCTCTTGCCATTTTCGCATGATTTTGCTCGTCACTTCGCATAACCATCCCATTTCTACGGTGTGTTCTTTAAAACATACAGTAAGTCTGCGTGAACAATGTTTGAAACCAACAACCATAACCAACATCCATCTGATTGATTGATTATATGGTTATTAAAAAACGGAAACACATACGCAAAATCATGTAAATGTCAATATTCTTTAAATATCTCCAAGAAGATCTCCAGTTTGTTGCTGCGTACATAGCATTTCCTGGCTGAATTACGAATAATTGTAGATATCCCAATTATATCCCAAACATATTAAACATATCCCAATGATATCCTTATAAATCCTTAATGAGGTAGACCCAATGCCATTTGCACCATCCCCAAGTCATCACCATTTTTCTGGATGCTATGGTTACCATCCCCCCAAATGGTAGTGTTATGATTGGGTTTAACTCAGTATTCCACGCATATACCATCAACATCCCATTATATCCCAGCTATATCCCAAACATACAGTAGATGGACAAATTATAAAAACCCCGCATCCATGAGTTGTAGACTACCCCCTGTGCCCCCAAATTTCAACGTTATGGTTTCGTATCTTTGTTTCTGATCTTAGGGTTTGATGTATTTCGTCCATTCGAAGGAGCGAAGCAAACCAAAAAAACAACATTGTAATTGGGGGTGCGGGGGGTTATTGGATTACAAGGGTTTGAATAATTCGTCCATCTACGGTATCACACATGTCCCAAAAAGATCTCCAATTTCTTGCATCTTATTAATGATAATCATACCCCATGTATATCCCAAGTAATGAGGTTAAACAATCATGAACCATCCCCCAGTCATCACCATTCTTATAGATAGCATAAGCCATTCCCAAATGAGTGGTAATTTAACATAGCTATGAACAATTGCCAATTGATAGTTGATTTACCTTTTTTTCCACAATGGTGATTTTCCATAGTTATGTTAGTTTACTGGAGGGTATATCCCAAGTATATCTGAATGATATCCGATATCCCAATGATATCCCTAGCTGCTGGGCTTCCCCGGCTGGCTCGGCGCCCTGCTTCCTGCCCAGCACCGTGCAGCAGCGGCGGTAGATCCTCGGAACTGCGGGGTTTCTGCGCCAAGTCGTGGAGAGTTCACCATGGGTTTTGGTTGGAAAAATCGGCAGAAAAACATCGATTTTAACATGAGGAAACTTGGAAACACCAAAGAGGTTTTACAGAAAAACATTGGAAAAAGTATTGAAAAAGTCATGGTTTGATGGGCTTTGATATCCTTTGATCCAGATTCTGGACAGGAATGGAATCATTTGTTCCGAACAAACAGCGCCAATAGATACCACGCCCTCAAAAAAGTTCTTCTTGAGCCGGTCCGTTAAATTTCCCTCACACAATGGCAAAGAACAACGAAGTCCGCAGTGAAGATCTGGAATGACCTGGATGAGCCTCTAGGAATGTGGGCTGAACCCACACATCCCATCGTTTGCCAAAAGTGAAGTTCATTAGGATACAGTATTGGAGATCCTGCGGATCAATGGGGATCCGTTTCCTTCCCCTCAGAAAACTATTGGTTCAAATCTTGTGAAATATGTTCAAATTAGGATCATGAAGGTCAAACGGGATGAGTGGTAATGACAGCGGGAACGTTTCGTTGATCTCGATCATGTTGTGGGCATGTCTATCCACCCCATGACTGGTGCCCATCAATCTCTAACCACTCCAACCTCCATCATACTATGCAGTAAAATGGAATAGCCATGGAATGCTATGGAAAATCACAGTTGTTTTGTTTTAATAGATAAACCAGCCATACACTGGCATACGCTGGCCATCGATACCATACCTATAATGTTAACTACTAGAGGATAATCCAAATAATCCACCATTCCCGAAGTCTCCTTTCGTCCAGCTGAGCGGCTGGAACTGTGCATCTCCTGTATAAGGCCTGCAGTGACTGGGAATCAGTCCCGAAGAATACCCGAAAAGGCAAACAACAATTCAACAAACCACAGTTTACCAAACAACTGCTTCTTCAAAGTCATGAGCCAAACCGAAAAAACAGAACTAATTTACTAATTAATTAGTTGGAAGCACAGGAAGATTACTTGGACTACCTAAGCCACGTAGATTACTCTCTCTCCACGACCCTCACACAAAGTCCTGGGTTCAACATGGGTCACCCTTCCAGCTTGGTTCTGCTGAAACACAACAATTCCCATGATTCCCTCGCCCGTCTCTTGCAGCTTCCGTCTAGACTCCTTGCATCCAAGCTGCGCCAACCCCTTTGGGTGCATAAAGCTTATGCCCTGCAATGGTCAGCAGGTCTACATCCAACCTGGTTGAGCCGTGTTGCGGAACAGCGGATCCGGACAACGCGGGATAGCCTGGATCTTGCGAATTTGTGGGGTTGAAGAAACCCGATTCCAAAATGCACAAGCGAGGTGGGCAAAAGTCAAGTAAATTCAATGGGGGTCCACCGGATTCTGGTGCAAGACAACTTATGGTTCTCTCACCCTCTCTTAGTCTCAATTTATAATCTGCCTTTTGTATTTCCAAGTTCTTAGTCCTTACTGGCCATGATTGGCTGTATCATTGGGTTGGTTTGAGAGAAAAACAAACAACATACATATAATCAACATATACTTCTTTACACTTCCCCCATGAAAGAATAGAGGACTATAGCTTTAACTTTAACCCAACATGCTACCTGCGATCAGCGACTGGTGCAGCATCCACAGTGAGGCGATACATGGAACCGCTAACTTCATATTGGAGTTGAGCCCCAGTGTCACTGGCTTGGATATTGCAGAGGGGATAATCTAATACTAAGCAAAAACCTGTTCATCAACGTGTGGAAGCTCATGGCCAATCTTAGATACCCTTCAAAAAATCAAATCTTTTGCTGGTTGGAAATGATTGCCCCATTTGTGACAAAAGCATAGGAAACCTCAAAGGATTAAACATGATTAAACAACACATCCAGTCGGTTTACCCCGAACGGCTCTCAAAGACAAGCCACTCCTTCACGTTCACTGGAAGCTTTCCCAAGCTCCTGAAAGCTTTGCACTGAGAAGATTTGAGGATTCAAAATCACCCTGTCATTACGGACATGGTGTACACTAGGCATGTGCTTATATATCCAAATCTATGTGCACGTATATTTATATTGTATTCTGTGTGAAAGTAAATGTGCACATATACGCACGTGTATGTGTATATATATAATTATATATATATATATATATATTCATCTATCTATTTGTTCATTTGCTAATCCCTTTCCCAACTACAAGTCTTTCCCATGGCCCCATAGGTCCAATGCTAAACCGATGGCGGGACGGCTCATCCATCCATTCAGCTACTGGGAGACCATTCTTCATCTTGCGAACTGGGGATCATCATGCAAAAAAATATCCAGCAAAACTATTGTGTTTGAAACAAGCAGTGATTGGTCATAGTCATTGGTCATAGTCATAGTGGTCATTGTAGTTCCGCCTTCAGTTTTTTTTGTTCCAATATCACGGCATTTCCCACTGATAGTTTGATCCAAGCATCTGTGAGGCATCGCAATGCATAAAGACCTCAAGAATGTTGTGAGGGTGGGGCCATGTATGAAGTCTCTGTTGGAAAACCTGCAAGTTTGGATCCCTTTTGCAAGGTTCTAGAAGGCCAAACCGCATGCCCTTTTTAACGGCGGTACTTGAACTTTTGCCTCAACGACCGGGAATATGCCGGTTACCTGGGGGCGCCAAGGGTTTCCCCTCATAATTTGGAGAGGTCGCATATGGCCCCGTGAGTTCTGAGGGCTGGGCTCTCTTTGGAGCTTTCCTGGACATGGCACCCCGAGGCAAAATAAAGAAAGCAACAGGCACCGGCAAGTTGTAAAATTGCAGGACGATTGTATATTATACACATTCTTTCCAGGACAAAAAAACATGCCTATAGAATTCTAGAGATGTCAAGCACAGGAGAGCGCCATAGTGCTCACAGATATCTGGAGGATCATGCTCTGCAGAACTTCAAAACTCACGACCCCCCAAACAAAAAACTTCCGGTCGAAAATCCACAGGCCCCGCCTTGCCCGCATGACAATCTCCTTAATGGGCTGCAACGCACCCGTTTCGTTGTTCGAATGCCTCGGCTTCTGATGTCTCAGCAATTCATGCCAAGGCTGCCAAGGGTTGCTGAGATTCCCATTAGTATTATGTAACGGTACTCCCGGTAATGACACTCATAATGTTGCAAGAAACTGGCTCGGTTCAAAACCCTCTGTGCTAACATATACTACTCTCTGGCAATTTAACACAGTCATTGAACCTATAAGTCATTATTTGTAATAGCTAAGTCATCTAGACTTGGGCCATCTATACTAATGTGGGTAAAAAACAATACCAGTACCACCTATTTATGCTGATTTGGGGGATGGTTTATTATTGTTCTACCCATATTATATGCTAAATTACTGAAGGGTCACTAATCAGGGTCAACATCAAGGTCAGATGGTCAAGTCGCATGATGCTGATGCAAATCGTCCTGGGAGTCAGTGCGGCCTGACAAGATCGGCTGCAAGGGCGTGGCAGGACATATGCGGAAACATGTGGAAAATCATTGCAAAAATAGCACTAAAAAAATACAATATATTTACTGTAAAAAAATGATCAAGAATGAACATATGGCAGGAAGACTTCACTTTGGAGAGCCAACTGCCACACAATAAAGCTTCCTTGTACAGACTAAAATTGCAATCAACTACCATGGGCTACAAAATGCTGGCCTTTTTCGACCCAATCAACGTTCATCAAAATTGCAATGGGCAGAGAACTGACATGAAATCGTGCAGTGTGCAACCACTACAGAACAAACAAACCCTGGTTTCGACAATTTTCGATAATTAGGATATACTTGATTGCAAGGTGGTGGCAAACCCAATAATAAACCTACCATTTGGGGATGTTTTATACTACCCATTTATGATGAATTTGGGGATAGTTTTTTGGGTTCACCGCATTAGGATGACCACAACTGGGTCGATACCCCCACCTCTACAGCGTCCGGGCTCACCATGCCTTCAGAATCCACTGGCAGGTAGGTTACCTGCGCAGCAAATGATTGGCCGCACGTTGGCTGAACTCAAAAATGCTGAACTTAAGTCGGATTTTTGGCTACCGCTCTGGAGAATTGATCAGAACCCCATGAATTCCCAAGACTGATTTGCAGTACAGCGACCTAATCGTTGCAACTACTATGTTCGCCATCTTACTGGCTGAAAAGTCATTAATTAACAAACCGATCAAGGTGAGTAATGAAAACATTCCTGCACCTTGAAAAAAACGGGAAGCTCGAACACATTCGAACACTAATCACCCAGCTTCCGAAAGGCAAAGTTGTCAGCTCAAGTGAGTGGATCTACATCGCGGATGTTTAGTACGGAGCTATTTTCTGCGGTGCTGTTGGCAAGCTGTTCGCTGGTGTTGGCCCAAATAAAAATCCTTGCGAATTGCTGTTCTTTCATTGGGGGTGTTCCCTTACCAGGATGTATATATATATATAATTCAGCTCGATGGCAGTTGTTCTTGGATCCATTTACAAATTGATCAGAAGGATAAGAACTACCGCCGTACTGTGGAGAGTATGGAAAGAATTCAGCGGTAGAGATGACCAATATGAGGGAGTGATATCATGAACGGTGATAATCATGGGGGAGAACATCCTGCGAACAGGTGAAACTGCGAAAATAGAAAGGAACAAACAGTTTCGAGGTTCGGGTTTTTCACGTATATAACTGTTTCTAACACTTGTGGCAACAGCATTGCTTAGATACACAAAGGGTTTGCCCTGGCGGCAAGCGATGCTTCTCAGGCAGCTCCCCAGTCTGCCCTTGGATATCGTGGCCCAAAGATCGCAAATCAGAAACACATGAACCAACGCACATGCTTTCCCCACAATTGGGATGGTTTCGCCGAAAAACTGGTGATTTTTTGCCCCCAACACTTGGACATGTGGGGATTTTCATGAACTTACGGCATTTTTTTCTGGTCCAAATCCCCAACGGCGGATCAAGGGCGCCTGGCAGCCTCGCCGCTCCAAAGCTTTGCACACCTCCAAGACGGCCACGTGTTCGCTGGCCTTGCTGGAGGGTGAACAGAAGGAAACAACACATGGACAGATCTGGTTGATTATACCCTCTGGTTATTTAATAGCCATGGAAAATCACCATTTTTAATAGGTAAACCATCTATAAATGGGCCATTTTCCATGGCTATGTTAAATAACCAGAGGGTATATCATAAATGTTATCAGCATTGCTATTTCATTGCTATTTGTTTGAAACATTATTGTTTTTATTGTTGTTAATGACTAGGTAAATACATATGTTGTGCTCACATAATATACATATGTACGTATAAGTTTTGTATATTATAATATGATATACTATAATATAATATAATAGAATATAATATATAATATAATAAAATATATAATATAATATGATATGATATATAATATAATATAATATATAATATAATATAATATAATAAAATATAATATAATATTATATAATATAATATATAATATATAATATATAATACATAATAAATAATATATAATATACTATACTATACTATAACATAATATAATATAATATAATATGATATAATATGATATAAAAAAATATGATATAATATAATATAAAATAATGTAACATTATATAACAATATAATATATATATATATAGACACCTGCACTCGTTGCAAATATATCATAAATGCAGCATGTGTGACACTGGACACAGGGTGAGATTCTTCAACAGCTGAGGACTTCAGCAGCCGGTCATCAGCATTTTTATAGGGTTCCAACCATTCCCAAAATGGTTGGTCTATGGCATTGTTTGACATACATTAAAATTAAAACTAATTTTGGGAGAGTTACCTAAGAAAGCACTGGTTATTCCATCGGGCTGGCGCTGGCCTGGGTGATGAAATGTTGCCGACCTAGGAACAGCTGCGGATTCACCCCAACGGCAAGAAAGACGACATCAGCTCCAAATGCCACAAAAAATCTGGGCACCCAACCTTCTGTCTCACCAATCTCAGCCAAACCCTTGAGAGCCTCGGAAAAACCGGGGTGAAGATGGCGAACAGGCTCTGAATCTGTGACATTTTAGGAAGGCTACCTACGCCCAGGCTGTTTGGAGCCTGCAGTCTTGAAACTTCCTATTAAATGCAATGACAAACATGCATATAGATACATATGACAATGCATGACAATGTCAAGTTAGGATTAATGATTGATAACCCCCCCGTATTGGATAAGCCCCGTCTGCCCCAAATTTTGGTGCAATACGGCCTAATACGGCCGTCTAATTCCCCAAGAATGGTGCACCTCCCAATTAGATAAGCCCTTCTGACCCTCCTGATTTTAGTGGTATACTTATTTAGCATTGTTCCCTCTTACTTTTACTTGGGTAAACTAATTTTTTGATCCCTCACGGTTCGTTCAACAAAAAAAAGAAAGAACTATAATCCCCGAAACGATCACGTTCTTCCTACTTGTTGCAAAAACACGATAGTTTTGCAAGCTCACAAAGGGTACCCTTGAGAGTGGCGCTCCCCCCAATCACAGTAAAAGTCCCCCCTCAGATCAAGAAAACCCATCTCAGCCCTATGTGTTTGTTGTTTTGTATTGCACTCTTCCATTCTCTTTTCCTTTTCCTTTTTCTCTTCATCAATGATGTGCGGCTTATTACAGCAATTCGGGGTAGTTTGCTCATGCGGGGGATAAATAAATTTATCAATTCTAAGTGGGTAAATCGCCATCTCAATCCCCGTCCTTGCTGGTTGAATCCCCATGCACTTCCCGCCAAATTTCAACATCAACATCCCCTGGATCAATGGAATTTTTCATGGAAGATTTACAGGAAACCAACCGTTTTCCGAGTAGATACCATTTGGTGATCAAACATGGCAATGGGAAAACCTGGATTGAAACACACTATGAATGGAGGCACCTGGTTGATGGTCTCCGTGCCGTTTGACATGAAAGTGATCTCGCCTGATCGAAAACTGGGGACACGCATAATTATCAAAGATTATCATGTCACAATTTGAGCGCATCCTACTGCACTTGCATGACATGACATGACATAAAATAAGATTAGGTTAGGTCTGATCACATGATATGTCCATTCAGATTCACATTCACCTGCGCATCTACATTTACAGTTAAATAAAAAATATACATTATGTTTACGTCAAGTCAAGGCACGTCACATCACAACATTCATACATGCACACATGTATGTACACACAGACTCGAGTACTTGTATATGTGTGGATTGTGTGTGTGAAGCATGTGTCAATGATATCTGGAAGCATCCCTTGTTTCACCATTTAAACACTTAAAAAAACATCCCGGCAAGAGGCCCCAAACAGTGTGGGGTAAGTAAAAACGATCATGTAATATAATGCTGACGATGATGTTAATGTTGCTCATGATGGGAATGATAATGGTGATGTTGATGATGATGACGACGATGATGGTGATTGGTGATGATGATGATGATGATGATGATGATGATGATGATGGAGATGATGATGATGATGATGAGGATGATGATGATGATGGTGATGATGATGATGATGTTGATGACGATGATGATGGTGATGATGATGATAATGATGATAGTGATGATGATGATGATGATGATGATGAGGATGAGGATTAGGATGAGCATGAGGATGATGATGATGATGGTGATGATGATGATGATGGTGATGATGGTGATGGTGATGGTGATGGTAATGATGATGGTGATGATGATGATGATTATGATGATGATGATGATGGAGATGATGATGATGATGATGAGGGAGATGATGATGATGGTGATGATGATGATGATGTTGATGACGATGATGATGGTGATGATGATGATGATGATGATGATGGTGATGATGATGATGATGATGATGATGATGATGATGCTGATGATGATGATGATGATGATGATGATGAGAGGAAGATGATTTTGTGGATGTTGAGGAGGAGGAGGAGGAAAATGATGATGTTGAGGAGGAGGATGTTGAGGAGGAAGACCGATCTCAAGACCGGGAAGCACACTTTGTGCGAGCCTGCGCGGTCGAAAGGTACACGGACATTTCACAAGAGCCATTTTGTGCGGAAATTTACAGGGAGTGCCGTTTGCCAAGCCCGCGACACCCGATTTGTGGGAGCCTGCGAAGTCGAAATGCACATGGACATGTCAGAAGAGGCATTTTGTGCGGAAATTTACAGCGAAAATGCCAAACGCCCCGGATACCACCTCGATTGAACACCGGGCCTTAACACCTACCGTAAGAACCCCTCAGTCGTGGACACACTGTATCTTTTTAAACAAACGCACACAAGACCAAGTCATCTCCCTTGCGCCCAACGCTTTTCACCGATGCAAATGGGATACATCGGATTGCAGCTTGGTGATGTTGCTGGAAATAGCTGAGAATGAGGTCCTCAAAGCCTTCAACTCCTGCGAGTGACACATCATGACACATCTACCATCTTATACCTGGTATCTCCTTTTAATGATCTTTTATATGGATTTATAGGCAATATCCATCAATATTTCTTCGCATGGTAGGCACTAATTTTTGGTCCAAGTTCTACGAAAACCAATGAGGAACCTGGATTCATCCCGTGAGGCCAACTCCGTGTCCTGGGCAAGGCTTTCAAGTGGTTTCTCCTAGGGCCGCGGGGGCGATGGGGTTTGCTGAGTGGGACTGGTGCAATGGTGCAATATGTATGTATGTATATATATATATATCACACACATAATATATATATACATACATTAATTATAATATTATATATATATATGTGTGTGTGTCTATACCTTGCCCATAGCCCATATATTTATTATAAAGTCTAGTCATAAGTATGTCGAATCGTAAATCGTAGCGGCGTTGATGCACGAACATTTCTTGCTATGCATCTCGGCATTACATCTAACATGTTCAAATTGCTCGATGGCCACCTTGGACTTAAACCATACGCATACGAAATCTTCCACGATTGGAGCATGGAAATGTCATCTCTGTTTTTGTTGAAGCGGTGATAAAGCTATTGGCCAAGATCATGCCAAGAATATATATACATACATATGTATATATATATATATAGCCATGTAATTATATATATATACATAACTAAATAAAATTTAAAATAATATAATATAATATAATATAACATAATATAAGATAATATAATATAACAAAATATAATATAACATAATATAATATAATATAATATAATATTTTAATATAATATAACATATAAATATATAATATATAATATAATATATAACTATATAATATAATATAATATAATATATAACTATATAATATAATATAATATAATATAATATATAACTATACTATATAAAATAATATAATATATAATTTTGTAATATAATATAATATAATATATAACTATATAATATAATATAATATAACAAATATAATATAATATAATATATAATATATAATATAATATAATATAATAAAATATAATATAATATAATATATAATATATAATATAAAATAAAATAAAATAAAATAATATAATATAATATAATATAATATGTATATATACATACACGTATATCCAGATTTCCGATCATTTTAGACCAAAAACACTTCAGAGTGACCTGCCAATCAGCCCCACCAGGCCATCGCCAGGCCGCTGTGGGTGGCAAACATTGCTGGCATTTCATTTGGGTGTCCTGCGACGTTGGGAAGAGGCGGCTAGGTGCTAAGCCAAACCTAAAGAATGGATAACCCCATAATATATAGATATTGGATTTTGTAGTGAAATTAGATGCGCTGAACTGTTTGTCTTCAGAAACTGGCAAACGGAGCACACAGCTCCTAACTAGGAGCAGTTCCTTTTCCAATCTCATTTCCATTACCCTCTGGTAATGAAACATTGCAATTATATAGATAGAGTTTTCTTTTATGGGAAACTCGTGGATCTTTACATATATATATATATTATACGTATATATATATATATATTATGGGAAAACCATGGCTGATTTCCAGAGGGCATGTTCCATTCCAATCTCCCTGAAACGTCTCCAAAGGCCGGGCCACCTACGGGTTAATCGTCATGCTCCTGATTTAAGCTTGGAACATCCCATGTTCAAACACACCCAAATATCGTATCAATACATGCATATATTCCAAGTAAATCCGCAATCGTTCCCAATGATTTCCCTAAAGACCATATTAATAAGTTCTAAAGTTAGCCAAATATCCCATTAATCCATTATATCCTCATCATACCATAAGTCCCAATAGATGGTGACTCCCTGACACATTCATATCTGCTTGGTGGTTTTTAACATGGTTTAACCCCAAAATCACTATATAAATGGGCGGTATAGATCATCCCCAAACCAAAATTGACATTATTACCATGATTTCAGGGGCTCAGTCACCACCCACCAACGCCCAAAAGGGCCACCTGCAACTCGTTGCTGGCGAAGGATCCGACTCCATAGCGATGCTCCTGGAGCTCCTGGGAAATTTTTGTGGTGACTTTTATGGTGGTTGAGTGGTGATTTAATGGGATTTTATGATGATTTAATGACACTTTCTGGTGATTTCATGGGATTTCATAGTGATTTAATGGGATTTAATGTGAATTGCTGGGATTCTTATGGTGATTGATAGGGGGTTAAGCAACAAAAATGGATACAACGGGAAATCACTTTGGGGATGTGCAGCCCTGGTCGGTCCGGTCAAGTCATATTTCATAATCCCAGTTTTCAACGGCTGAATCCCTTTTTAAAATCCCCATGTTCTTTGTAATATCACATTTGTATACATTTGTTCCTTCTTAAATCTCACTTTTCTGCGCTAAATCACCATTCTCTGTCCTGTAATTTCCAATTGTAGTTGGTTAAGTTGGTTCACTTCAATCCCATGTGCTCTCCATTTTTTCCTAGGTTTTTGTCATCCTAAATGGAGGATATCCCCAAATCATCCATGTGATTTTCGGATTTTCCGTGAAACATCCAGCTATTGGGGTACCCCCATGACTTCGGAACCTCCATTTTTTTGTTTGGCTTTCAGGCTGAACGTCATCTCCTCCACCTCCCCCGGGCCGCCTCGTCGTTCGCACAGCGGAAGCCGACCTCGTAGAACTCGAAGCCAGCCACTTTGGAGCCTCGCAGCGGTGCCAAGCTCAAGCCTGACATAGAGACACCTCAAATGTTCTAAGTATGTATGGCGAACCATTGGTTGACCATCAAAATTGCTAAAATGCTGATAAATTAGGATTTAACCATAAAAAATGCTGCGAAATTTGGGATTTAACCATCAAAATAGGAATCCGACCAATGACCGAATTATGGATATGATATGCATGTATGATCATGTATGTACAGTCGAAAATGAAAAAGGTCATTGGGATCATCCATCCCAAGCATGATTCAAAATACACCATGAAACCAACCATCAAGCAATATCACTATGTACTTATCTATACTTATCTGGTCGTTCATTTAGCCAAGTTCTGCATGCATATTTGATACCATTGATTGTTCTTTGTTATAATCCTCACAATCATGATGTTTGCCATTGCCGTAGTTGTTCCTCATCAACATATTAAATTACAATGTTTAAGTGTCACAAGTCTTCACTAAAGTACTAATATACTTCACTATTATCATTGCCGTGAAAGCATGCAACCATTTTCTCAAAATGTTTGGCTGTAATCCTTGAGGTTTTTCTGATTGTGTACTGTTCCTATTGTCATTGCCATTGTCACTATTACATATTGTTGCTATGGTATCATTGTGTTGTGATTTGATTGCATATGAGCACATACATTTAAAACATATGCGTAATCATGGTTAAAAATACCAAACTATATAAATAGTATATGATATACATACACACGCGCGCGAGATGGAATCGCAACAACTTTGTCCATCAAAAATAGAAAATAAAAAATAGAAAATAAACAATGTTCCCTGTTCTGTTGAATTACCA